CTCCATACGCCCTTTCTAAATCTATTACTTATCAATGCACGTTCACTTCTGAACAAAATTTCAGCCTTGAGAACATTAGCCTTTCTATCCAAGCCTTCTTTCATACTTATCACTGAAACATGGTGCTCTCATGCAGTATCTGACTCAGAATTAAATATCCAATACTATAGACTCTATCGCTGTGACAGAGAAACTAAGCGAGGAGGTGGTTGTATTATATATGCTTTGGATACCCTAACAACTAATAGAGTTGAAGATAGTGTCCTGAATAGTTTACCAGAATCAGTCTGGATATCTGTCAACACCCTGAATCATAGTCTACTCCTTGGATGTATATACAGAGCTCCTGAGAGCTCAAATAATGGGAATAATCTCATTATCAATGCATTCATACATGCATCTGCTCTAAACTTTAATGCTAAGGTTATCACTGGTGATTTCAATTATCCTGGGATTAACTGGAGTACCGGTAGCTGTCAGTCATGTAATGAGGAGTTCTCGGCAACCATTAACATGCACTGTTGGTCACAGTGGGTTCGTACCCCAACTAGAGGTGATAGTATACTCGATCTAATATTTAGTAGAGATATTATCCCACTGTCTGTAAAGGTATACGATGAATTTGAAAGCAGTGACCATAAGACAGTAGTATGCTCTCTCCCTATATATCCCTCTTCTAACCGACCCATTCAAAAAACCTGTCAATATAGAGACTTTAAGCACGCCGACTGGGACCTCCTGCATTCACTGATTAAACTTTCAGACTGGGATAACTTTTTTTCATGTACTAATCTCATAGATACTATCGACGAGTTCTATTTGATCGTTAACTCTTGTTTAGATTCTTCTGTACCTCTTAAAACGTACAGGTTTATTAAACCTTACGAATTATATATACCAGCTAAATATCGTAATAAACTAAGACGCCTACAGAATCGTTATTTCAAGTCAAACGACTTCACGGCAGCTGCGCAAACAACAATAATTTTTAATCAAATTAAAGAGACACATAGGTTAAAAGCCATTAATGAGGAGATACTAGCACTTAATAGTAACTCAAAAATACAAAACTTAACTCTACTTCTCAATAAACGCGCTAAAGTAACTCAAAATGTTGATATACCATGCATCCAGCATAATAACACTTTTATATACGACTCTAAAACTATGGCAGACCTTTTCAGTGGTACTTTTGCGAATGATGTAGGAACCACAAGTGGCTCTGCTTCAAGAGTTACGTGCGTGACCAGCAACTACATAAAATCTATCTCCTTCACATGTAAGAAAATTAATATGGCTATAAATGCCCTTAAGCTTTCGCGCGGTCATGGAGCAGACGGGATTCCATCCTTTCTCTACAAATACGGTGGTCCAGATATTCCACTTCTTCTTCTAAAGCTGTTTACTCTCTCTATGAAAACTGGTTCTTACCCTTACTGTTGGAAAACCGCGTACATCATACCACGTTATAAATCTGGAGATAAGACTGACATGAACAATTATCGGCCAATAAATATTACTCCAGTGATCTCTAGGATTATGGAGAAAATTGTAAGTGATGAACTTTCCAACTATTTACTCGCTGGAAACTTTATCAATGATACTCAACATGGATTTCTCAAAAATCGATCTTGCATGACATGTCATTTCGACTTCTTTAATTTAGTCTACTCTCTACGTAGCCAAGGATATCTAGTCTTAGTGCTATATCTGGACATTTCTAAGGCCTTTGACATGGTTAACCACCAACTTCTTATAGGCAAACTTGCATCTTACGGGGTTCAAAATCCTTTGCTAGATTGGATTGATTCATTTCTCAGCAATCGACATCAAATAGTTAAAATTAACTCTTCATTGTCTAACGCTGTCCCCGTTAGAAGTGGTGTAATACAAGGTAGTGTCTTAGGCCCTTTGCTCTTTTTAGTGTTTATCAATGACATTTGCGAAAATTTTTGTGTAGGTAAGCCCCTTCTATATGCAGATGATCTTAAACTAGTATATTCATTTTCTCCACATGAGCTGGAAAATGTGCAAACTTGCATTAACTTGGAGCTTGACAAGGTAGCACAGTGGTGCTTAAAATGGCAACTGGAACTTAATACGGCTAAATGTGGATGGATATGCTTCGACGATACATCACTTAACCTAGACCTTACCATAAATGGAGAAATGTTAACTAGGTTACATACAGTAGTAGACTTAGGACTTAGATACTCCCAAGACTTATCGCTTACAGAACAGATATTGAAACAGACCTCCAAGTCACAACGACTAGTAGGTTACATAATTCGAAACCTTCATAGCAATGAATCACGAATTTTAATGTACAAAGTTTGTGTTCGACCTCTTCTAGAATATTGCACGTTTATTCTTAGCAGTGCGCGCATAAAGGATAAATTAAGGCTGGAATCAGTACAGAGACGATTTACACTTCGTATTCTTGGAGCTGATTGTTCCTTAACTTATAATTCTAGATGTAAAAAACTAGAGCTAGACCGTTTATGGAAGAGGAGACTCAAACTAAATCTTATTTTTTTCTTCAAACTACTTAATAAATTATCCTTTACATCCAATCATGTAATTCAATATGCAGAGACTCCTCATTATGAAACCCGTAATTCCTTGGCACTTGTGAAACAAACTTATTCTAAATCATCTCTTTATATGAATTACTTTGCCTGTAAATTTTCTAGACTCTGGAATAACCTACCAGAACATATCCGTACGATAAAATCACTTCCATTATTTGTACGTTGCATCGATGCATATTGCTCCTCCGAAAATGCATTGAATGCTCTAGCACCCGCAAGTGTATCTCACTCCACAAGTGTTATTATAGGAACTTTAAATGTTTAGGCATTCTTATTAGTGCATTCTCTGGATAAAACCACCTACTCGCTGTCACTTTATGTTAATACCGTCCCCAGCTAGTTTAACTAATTTGAATATCATCAACAGTATATCACTGTGTCACATGACATACGCATTTTGATAGGTCTGTTTGACATATTTCGGTAATTACTGCTTTGTTGTTCCGTGCTCTCTGTTTTCGTTTTAATTTCTCTAGTTGTAGATATTTATCATTAAATCGATCTGGCACACGAAATGACCTTAATTACATCGTTTATAAATCAACAGACAGTCCAGTTAAGAAATATTACATGTTCCCGGCTGATACATTGGATCGCTGTAATACCCAAAAAATTACTGAACTAGTAAACTTAAAACTCATAACACATGTTTGTTCTGTACATATAATGATATTATTTATATCAAATTGATCATGCCTGTAAACTGGCGTGAATTCTGTAATTATAATTTTTTCAGAATATAAATTATTATTATTATTAATTGAGGGCGATATTTGCTGTTGATACTGTTCCCAGAAGGCTGTAATTAATAATAGTAAGAGATATATTTCTTGATGTTCGTATTGAAGATTCTCACTGTGACTGAAATTTGAAGTAATCAAGGTGTCGTAACTAGTTTTTAATGAACGCATCTAAAAACCTTTTTAATTGCACTCTCATATGAGAAATATATCACTCTTCTGGGATGAGTACGAAGTAAGGATACTAAATATGTCCGCGTTAAGAAATAAACTATACATGGCTTGAGCTTAAGAGTCAAACTAGAGGTCTGTACAGTAACGAAACATACTCGTCACATAATAATAATATTAGGTCATAGTATCCGAATTGATTTTCGTCCAGACAGATAAATAACACATTCCATTACGAAACTGCATCTGATGGGTTGGTCACAAAAGTTCCACAGAAATAATTGTTGAATTTAAGGTGCTAAGTGTTTACAGTCTCTGTTACCCACCCTGTGAGGAAACGATGAAAAAAACCTTTCTGTTGATCGTCCGAAAAGAAGCTCATCAACTTCCGTGCTGATAATAATTATCAGAGTTACTACAGATATTTATCCTTAACCATGTTTGTTTTGCAAATATTATGATCTGTCTTCAACTCATCAAGTGAAAGTAACACATCCCTTTTTATTAAAATCACAAGTAGCCTCAAGAGAATCCCGTAAAAATATCGCCGAAATTTTTTTCCTCAAGAACGCTTGAAAGTCACAGTTCTGAGGCGCGGTTTGCGACGACTGAAGATGTCAGGGATTTCAGGGCTTGACAATAATGTTTTCCGTAATAAATTTGTAATATAAAGGTTCTAACCCGGCCAAACCGAAAGTCAGGAATGAAGGAGTTTGGAGATATATATGAAAGATTGTTAATGTTTCTAAAAGTGCATGATATAAGTTGCATGGCGGATCTAATGGCAACTCAATGTAGATCAGTAACTGATCTCCTTCAGATAGGATGTGTCCAGTAGAGCTAATGAGGTCATCATCAGTACCTAGGACTCATGGAACTAATTATTTTAGGGACTTGCTTATCACTACTTCTTTTAATTCTGGAGTTGGGTGCTCAGAAGATTTGTAGCGTGGAGTCGAGTTGCGATTGACTATGAACACCACTACAAGTAGACTACGTGCCAGCTAACCAATAAGATCCCCGTAGGTAAATACCAGAAGGCAGATGATGGCTGTAGTCGAGATGTGTTTGTTGGCGATCTTGTGGTATCGAAATAATACCGAGATCGTGCCAAAGGTGTACAAGCGTGGGTACTAAACGTAACCTAATTTGTACAAGTGTAAAGTCAACGGAAGAGGGAGAGTTATGGCTGTCATTAGCACAGTTAAACAAACGAGCACGGTAAGACAATCACTGGTACAATTGGTTATAATAATTGTTTCCATTGAACCAATCGCGTTCTGTTGACAAAAGTAGGTCATTACAGATTCATTAATACGCAATTCGAAATCTCGTTAACTGATGCTTCAGCTTAGTCTTCTTTCACATTAACACGAATCGTCGCCTATGATATTATGGATGACTAGACATAGAGCAAATAATCAAAATTAAGGTTAATAAATATGTGTGTTTGTTTTATTGAGTCAAATGCTCACCTGGTTGACAATATGGCTCGCCGGCTCTTTTGCCGCGACTACAACTGTTTTGGCGGGCTCTTAGTATTTTTCTTAAACGTAGCTAGTATATGTGCGTCGTCAGGATCGACCGAAGGCTTCTCTTTTGTGACTTGCTATCCACACGTTAATTAATTGTAGTATTAGTAAAGAGCACATGGAAGGTAGCTTGCACGATCACTACTTAACTATTGTTAGTTTTCATGGACCATTCCAACCGCTCATCAAACTCTGTCAACCATCAAACAAAGAAAGAACGTAGTGTGCATGGGAAACCGGAGGCAAGTTTGTTGTATTCTACATTTGACCATACTTATAGTGGCAGAAAAGTGCAATCAGAACTTGTGGGTATTGGTCAGAGCAGTTAAGTTCCAAAGGCAAGATATATTTTTACAACTGCATGACTGAAGTTTCTCAATGGCAAAAGCCTCCAGAGTGGGATTTACCTGAAATGAACAGGAGAGACCTACTTAAGTTGCTCAGTGAGCGTAAACACACAGAAGGTATCTTTCAACATGTGCCTCATTTATTTTAGAAAACAATCTGAAAAGATCACATAGTATCTCCGAAAGTGAACCTGGTGCAATTAGGGATGAACGCTCACTTCTATCTAATGAGTTAAAACGCACGAAGTATTCAGTTAATGCGGAGATTCGGCGTCCAAGTTCATCACATCTTGGCACTAATATATCCAAGTAATAATATATTATTTTTATTTGTTTGTAGCCATACCACTGATGTAGGTCATACCACAGGAATTTCCCACAATGACGGAAAAAACCATGGTTTGTTGCTATTTGTGCTAACATGGCTCTCCGATTAGTTAGCCGTCCTGTGGCTCATGATTGTCGGTACGATCCATTGAGGAAAACAAAGTTAAATCATCTCCCACCCAGGACTTTCACAACAGATGATATGGAAATATCTCCAAACAGTTCCCCACTGTCAGATGGGAGCTCTACAAAATTCCCGCCTAATAGACAGTTTTCTCCCCAGAAGTCCAATATGAGCTTTTGTTCATCAGGTACCCTCAGCTTACAGCGTCCCAGGGACTGCAAATCTAAAGCAACAGTACTCCCAAGTCGTGAAGTTGGCGAAAAACCAGGTACCAGTCATTTTAACGCCCTTATTCCTTGTACTTGTCTCTCTCTACTCCTAAGATGCCATTCATTTGTGGGGGCAGTAATTTTACTTATTTACATAATGTGAGAGTTGAATTCAATTTCCTAGGAAATGTGGGTTCTCCTAATTCATCTTATCAGCATGAATTTCACAGGATTTTGGTTTTGTATTTTTATTCACAATAAACCAAGTACATAGATACTTAATAATTCAAATCATGAGTGAACGCAATGAATGTAAACACTAATTGTTATTCTTTCTTCTTACTATAGAAAAGTCTACACTGTATCAATTAGTGGATGCTATCCGAGCTTCCATAGGGGATTTGCTGGAACAGCCACCCAAATCCTTATCCTGCGCCTCTGAAAAACCCCCCATTAATGGTTCAGTTTATGCGTCATGCAAAGTATCAGTTCCTTCGGAACCCAGTCAGATGACCACTAACCAGCCTTCCCCGAACGTTATTTCAAAAAGATATAAACAATCCGATGTCTATCTCGATGGCCGAATATGTTCGCCCACAGTCTTAAATTCAAGGCAACTGACAAAAATGGACAGTCCTGCTGCATATCCCAGTTCAGTCAATGCTGAGTCTCGGAATTGTAATGTACATAAAGGCTCCTCATATGATCATGGTCAGGGCTACACAACTGGTAGTAAGGTAAGTTGTTATCACTAGCCTTTTTCAACATGTATATGCATTAGAGTAACGCGTTTGTACTTAGTTTTACCAAGCTTGCTTTGTTATGAGAGAATGTGATTTTAACAACAAGACTTGTGTTGTATCAGTCGGTTTATAGATTCTGTAATGTTATTTCCTAGGATTTCAGTCAAGAATTTTTCAGCAATATCAAAAATAGTAAAAGATGGGGTTAAACTGTTGGAGTCAGAATCTAAGTTGTATATTCCTGTGATTTTGGGAAATCACTTCAATACAAATATCGTTTTCACTGTTGATTGTAATTTAGAAGAAATTTTAAGACTTAATTTCTTTAGTTGTGTATGACTTGTTGCAGCAAGTACCAAAGTGATTGACTAGACCACATTTCCGCTTATAATAGGCAGTTGATGAAATGATCAATATTAGTCGTGAAATAAGGCTTGATAAAATATATTTTCATTCAAGTTATCACAATTCATTTGAGCACTAGCGACAGAAAGTTCAAATAATCCTACCAGGACTGTTGATAACTATACTCAGTATCGAGGATACAAATAAGTCTGGAGAATAAGCATGTTTAGCATACTTTTGCCCCCAAATACCATGGTACGGCCGAGAGTAGAGAGAGTCCGTTTTCCCTCTCGAAATGCTCTCACATAGCCACGCGTATATAGCCTCTGCCAGGGAAGTCCTACATACTGCCCGACCGTAGCTGCTACCTTGACGTGGTGGTCGGGCTTGCCTATCGTGATGACCCAACCGAGCTATATTGGCTGGAACACATGTTCCTGCAGGTTCTACCATGCCAGGCAGGTCGATTGGAGAATGGTAAGACTAAAAGCAGCAACTCAAGGTCTGAGGGCAAAGTCGTACTGCTGACTGTATAGAGTTGTGACAGCAGTAATGTGTTTCCCTCGGACAACCAGTGTCTACAGCGATGCTGCCTTCTCACAAGGAAGGAAGGAGTTAGAAAAGGTTGACCCTAAAAATGTCACACCTCACCTTACCCCACGGATTTCCGTCTCCGGCGGTAAGGCCCTCTGAAGAACGGAGCTCACACACTAAAAACCTCCCACAAAAAGGCCGTGCGTGACTGGCCTCAAGCAGTTGTCTCTTGGGCTCTGCGGTCACGCTCCCAGGTCTTCAAGACCAATACTAATCCGATTTCCTTTTCAGGTTCCTCAAGATATATCCTCCCACGGTGTGGGCAACAGGGAAGTGATATCAGCCCTCATACCCGTAACAGCACACAAGACCAAGTTGGTCACATTCAAATCCTTCCTACACCTCCTAATAACTCTCTTATCTCCACGACTAACCCTTCTTACGTCCCTTTATCACCTCGCCCCACCAGTGCAAATGATTCGAGTACGCAGAATGTTATTCCTGGTCTCCTGTAACCACGCTCTAAACTACACATAGAAGCTTTCAACGTCCGAACACTGTGCCAAATAGGACAACAGGCTTCCTTAGCTAAGACTTTAGAATCTCACTCCATTGATGTGTGCTGCGTCTCCGAAACGCGCATACAGGATCCTAGTAGTGTCATTCATTTGACCGCACCATGTCAAAGTAACAAAGCAACTCGATTTACGCTCCGTGTATCTGGGAGCCCTGATGCTGCTTCCCGTGGCCTCGCTGGCGTAGGTATAGCATTGAGTCCTAGGGCAGAACTAGCTCTCTTAGACTGGATCCCAGTAGACAGTCGTTTGTGCACTGTCCGACTAAACGGAACAGTAAGGACTCGGAAAGATAGGGACACTCATCGTTGCCTCTTCGTCGTCTCTGCCTACTCTCCCACTGACTGCAGCTCCGATGATGTAAAAGATGAGTTTTACAGAAAGCTTTCCGACCTTCTCCGAAAAGCTAGGCGTTCAGATGTAGTAATAGTGGCTGGTGACTTTAATGCTCAAGTAGGTAAACTAAGCGAAAAGGAAGGACACCTGGGTGGATCTTATGATGTCGCGGTTCAAAGAACAGATAATGGTGACCGTCTGTTGCAGCTATGCTCAGATAACTACCTGTTTCTTGCAAACACTAACTTTAAGCATAAGGAAAAACATCTTTTAACATGGCGACCCCCTAATTCGTCTCAACGCTGGACCCAAATAGATCACATCACTATCAGCCACCGATGGAGGGGCTCGATAGAAGACTGTCGCTCATTCTGGAGCACATGCTTAGACTCAGATCATGCTCTAGTGCGAGCGCGTATTTGTTTACGTCTTACTGGACGTAGGAAAGATGGTGCAAGGAAACCCCTTAGGATCCTACTTAATGATAGTCAAGCTAAGAGTATATTTCAGGAACAACTAGAAAAAGTTAGGCAGCTATGTAAGTGATGCCCAACTGTTAGCGAAACAATGGCAGAGAAAGATGGACATATTATTCATTCTCAATCCAGGAGATTGGATCGATGGGGAGAACACTTTAGGGACCAGTTCAACTGGCCTTCAGCCACACTTCGGTTTCCCACGATCTCCAGTCGACCTGAATGGCAAGTTGATGTAAGCCCTCCGACTCTTTACGAAGTTGAAAAAGCTATAGGAAATTTGAAGCGTGGGAGAGCAGCAGGCCCTGACAGGTTTACCCCTGAGATTTCTAAGGATGGCGGTCCAGTATTAGCAGCGAGATTGACCGAGGTCTTAGGTAGAATCTGGGAACTGGACGTAATCCCATCTGACTGGTCTCAATCACTGATTGTGCCAGTCTATAAGAAAGGACAAAAGTCCTCTTGTGACAATCACAGAGGAATTAGTTTAACTAATATAGTGTCTAAACATGTCACAAATCCATGAAGTCACTGACAAGTGGACTGAGCCATGTTGGTAGGTGTAGACTACCTGGTTGCGGACCGCGAGATGATAGCAACCGATGGTTAGAGACCTTGAATGACATGGCTCAAAATCGTTCTCAATGGCGCAGATGCATCCACTCTTTGTGTTCTCCCAAATCCTAATCTTCTGAATTCTTCATGTCCCTTTCTTTTTTTCTCTTTCCAAATTTATTTCATTGTATTATACTCCTGGAATAACATATTCAAACCCTAATGTTTCCGATTACTGCTTATACTTTCACTACCTCTACCACTACGGGATTTGAATCGATAACTGAATCTCTGTGCTGATGTGGTATGACAACTCTAACTGATGTACGTACGTACGAAGTTCCATGTTGTTACTGACTGACTGACATACTGTCTTCTCGTGGCGGGGCGTTGTTTACGAAATTGAAAGGTTGAAAAGCGAATGTCCGACGCTCTAATCGGGTCGGTGGACACGGAGGACCCGCTTAGGGGAGTTGCAAAACCCTGATTCCAAACCAATTGTGCACATGGGCTCTAGGATCCTGAGCGAACAAATGGCGTATGAACGTATTGTTGGTCACCGGCTACCATGGGAGTGCATCTCCTAACGTTGCTCCACTGCTTTGTGGATTAGACCTTTATATCAAAGGCTTCGAGTTTGTCCCTCAAAAAAGCAGGTGGTTTCCTTAGTGGCCACACCCCGAGCCTTTGAACTTTAGTTCCGATCCACAAGGCAGTGGAGCATTGTAACGAGATGCGGTCCCATGGTAGCCAGTGACCGAGAAATTGGTTCATACGCCATTTGTTCCTTCAGGATACTGGAGCCCATGTGCACCATTGGTTTGGGATCCGGTTAAAGCGCCGGACATTCACTTTTCGTCCTCTCATTTTCGTAAACAACACCCCCTCCACGAGAAGGCAGTGAGTAGGACTTCCCTGGCAGAGGCTATTTACTCGTGGCTATGTGAGAGCATTTCGAGAGGGAGAGCGGACTCTTCCCACTCCCGGCCGTACCAGGGCATTTGGGGGCTGTATATTGAGACTACGGAGTAAGCATTACTAAGGTTAGTTGTAGGGTAACAGTTAAATGTGACAGGTTGATATGCTTATTGATCAAGTGGTTTTGAGCATGTATTGCTTATGCATGTCCACAAACTTCCTCGACGGGTGATTTTAGATAATACAAGAGTAGCTTGGAAGGAATCGAGAGACCACCAGACCGAAACTTCACATTAGTTTGTAAAGTCACCGACTGCTGTATTGAACCCTGTCGGATCGTTCAAACACGATTGTAGTCCGCTCGTTTATCACAACGAAAATGTATGGCGAGTCGAAATGGGTCCCAGCGGTTCAAATGCAGTTACTGTTTTTCATCCCTTAGATAAGAAATTGTAAAATTATATGCGCTTTAATTGGCGAGCTCATTTTTAATCTTACTGTCTGTGCCTAATATTACCTTTCATCACCGACATTGTTACTACATCTGCTAGTCTGAAACTTGTCTTGCTGACTGCTTGTCGTTATGCTGATATCGTGTCACCACATGAGCTAATATAATATTCGCAAGATTCTGCGTTTATAATTGCCTTTTGAAAGTGTCACCAGTCATTAATGTGGTTCAGAGCTATATATATATATATATATATATATATATATATATATATATATATATATATATATATATATTGTTTGGATCGATGCACGTATGTTCCTGGTCCTACTTTGTAACCGACTGACTTTTCGGATCATAGATGAAGGACTAGAGAAGCAATCAAAAGTCAGTAGGCACACTCCAGTCCCGCAAATTAAAAATGAGAAATTATTTTTCAGGTTTCCTGCTTTTCAACTCTTACCACGTTTCAGGAAACCAAATAAACCAGGATACCAAGAACTACTCAATCGATCCTTCTGGTAGTCACCGGAAACTGTCCTCTATAAACTAAAGTAGTGAATAACCAATGCTAGTTGGTTACCACTTCAACTCCCGAATTCAAATATTCCAGTTCAAATTAATGAGTGGATAAAACAAAAATAACTGTTGTAACAGAGTATAAATTCATTCATTTCTCGGTTTTTCGTCATTTGTTTACAACTTAAATATTATAGGAGTTAAGAGATACTCCATAAAGCGAATGAATTGACAGTATAAACCCAGACGTCAAGGATGCAGGTTATCATATCTATAAGCATGATTTACCAGAAATGCTCAGACCTGTTTTTATCATACCAGATGTGTTGTTATTATGACGTAACTTTTAACATCAATTCTTCATAGACCTGTTTTCTAATAAATTCGTATCATATTTATATGGTGGTGCAATAGAACAGGTGCGTTCACCCTTTGTCTTCTCTTAGAATCTAGACTTCTACAATCTTCAAATTATTATCTATCGTTTCACTAATTCATTTTTTTCTCGTTGGATTGCATCTTCGATGTGCGACTCCCATTATCATTAATCATGTTACTACTACTCTGGGATTTTCCTTGATAACTTCGTTTAACTTTGCTAATGGGGTCTTAACCTGAACTGATGTCAGGTTCTACGTCGGGTTCGACTGACTGATATATTTTACAGTCTTCACGAATGTTCAGAAACTGCTAAATGAAAAATTATCCACAGTTGCTTATGATCCTTGCATGCATTTTCGTCACTAAAATTATTTTCCAAGCTCCGTATTTGTGTTGATATTTACGTCATATTCCTTTTATCATTTTGGCGCCTCCACAATACCATTTACGGATACTGTTTCAATGGTTTATACCAAAATTTTCAATTTATTTGGTTAGGTTTTCCTTATGATTTGTTGCTTTCATTCACATATTCGTGGTCAAATTTTGGTCATTATATGTAATTGAAAGCCTTCAGATTAACAAGCAAATGTTTGTTGATAGTTCGGTCGATTTTTGAAGTGATACCTGGAACAAACGGCAAACTATCTTAATTTCGTGTAACATATACTCCCAAACAGAATAATCTGAAGTCTAATTGGCGACTTTGTCAACAGTAATTGTGACATTATATTCAATCTGATTACTGAATTCTAGTTGCAATGTTTGTCAACCATCAAAAACCCTAGAACTAGCCGTGCGACTATTGTACGGCTCGATTTATGTTATCTTTTATCGCCCGGCTTTGTTTTTTCCTCAGATACTATATTCGATGGGCGATCCAAGACACACAGTAAACTCTAATCACAGTCCAGCATATCCCAATCCTATCACTTCTCAGGGCGAAAATCATCGTTTCCCTTCTAATGCAACTCATCCTGTTTGTTGTATTGTTTCGCATCAGAATAGTCCAGCTGTGATTTACAGTCCACATAATCCGAATAATACCACCACATCTGTTTCCAGTGCATCACAACAAACTTGTGTCTCTCTATCTCATTATGATTTGTCGTCACGTCAAGTTGACAAGATCATCGAAATTTTGGCTGAACAGGCTCACTGTCAAAGTAAAACTGAGGAACACAATTTCAACAGAAATATATCACTTAGTTCTAGCAGATTACCAGAAAATCTAAAAGGATCCACGTCACCTGGACATTCCACTCGAGCATCCATTTCACAAACCCTTCAAACCAACCATTCATGTAAGTGAATTTATTCACTTTATTCTCCGAAATTCATATAAATTAGTAATCGATTCTTTAGTGTGAGCGTTTCTAATAAATTAAATACTTTTTTTAGTGGCGATTATTCGTGGAATTAGTTCGCCTATTCAGTAATTCGATTCGTTTAAATTGCGTATGTCATCCCCGACTCCTTTATTACATTTACTGGCAACACATACCTATCATTTATTTCAATAGGATTTGTCAAACGCTTGGTTGTTCTAAAAAGTGGTTTATCAAAAGCGGGTTTGGCGTTTTATCATTCTCGCAGATTGAGTTAAGTAATTTTAAGTTTATTAATTTCACTTTATTCAAAAAAGTGGACATTTTATTATTAATATCAATCTGTACGTTTTAAAATGGTTTATCATCGTACAGCGCTTACAAACTTATTGGTTTAGCGACTAATTAATTAATTAATTATTTATTTGAACACATAAATATTGGTACAAGGGGGCACCATATATATATGCGCCACAAAAAACAATGAGAATTTCAAGAGAAGAGAAAAAAGGTAAGGAGCGTAGGGAATTATAAAAAAATATTGTTCTGCGGTTGTAAAACGTGACTTACGAAAGCTGATTTATACGTTTACGAGGTACATTTTATCCAGATCAAAAAATAATTGAAAATAAACCACCGTAAGTCAGTTATTCAGTATTGATATAATTTGACTGACTAGTTTGTTTCGTTTTTCGTACTGTACATTCTAGTGAACAGAGATTCCGTAAATCCTAACGCTCGATCACAACATACCCAGTTAAATGATCTTGTACAGGTTTTGAAAGCAGCTTTGCATCACCATACTTCTAACCATATGTCTGGAGATCCTGCAACATCCGTACAGTCCAATAATCGTCTCAATACTTGTCCACATTCGGATTCAGATCTTCCTGTCAATAAAAAAGGTTAGTTTAGATGAATACTCGTTTTTATAAGCAGTCATGTTATATAGGGTACTAATTCTGTTACAACAAGTCCGTTGAATGTTTGTAGCCAATCTTCGTGATTATGGTATTGCTTTTCTTTACTGACGTTTACCATATCCCCAGAAATCAGGTATAAAAAGCATTTGTCAGTTGGTTAGATTCTATCTGTCTATGTTAATTTATGTGTAACCTGCAATTGTGTAAATAGAGTTTCAGTAATAAAACACGGAAATAATTTCGTACACTTTATTAGTTGTTCTGTGACTTCGAGCTATCTATATACAAAAACGAAATCCAAGTTCATTCCATTCAGTCAGTCAGTCAGTAACAACATGGAACTTCGTACGTACGTACATCAGTTAGAGTTGTCATACCACATCAGCACAGAGATTCAGTTATCGATTCAAATCCCGTAGTGGTAGAGGTAGTGAAAGTATAAGCAGTAATCGGAAACATTAGGGTTTGAATATGTTATTCCAGGAGTATAATACAATGAAATAAATTTGGAAAGAGAAAAAAAGAAAGGGACATGAAGAATTCAGAAGATTAGGATTTGGGAGAACACAAAGAGTGGATGCATCTGCGCCATTGAGAACGATTTTGAGCCATGTCATTCAAGGTCTCTAACCATCGGTTGCTATCATCTCGCGGTCCGCAACCAGGTAGTCTACACCTACCAACATGGCTCAGTCCACTTGTCAGTGACTTCATGGATTTGTGACATGTTTAGACACTATATTAGTTAAACTAATTCCTCTGTGATTGTCACAAGAGGACTTTTGTCCTTTCTTATAGACTGGCACAATCAGTGATTGAGACCAGTCAGATGGGATTACGTCCAGTTCCCAGATTCTACCTAAGACCTCGGTCAATCTCGCTGCTAATACTGGACCGCCATCCTTAGAAATCTCAGGGGTAAACCTGTCAGGGCCTGCTGCTCTCCCACGCTTCAAATTTCCTATAGCTTTTTCAACTTCGTAAAGAGTCGGAGGGCTTACATCAACTTGCCATTCAGGTCGACTGGAGATCGTGGGAAACCGAAGTGTGGCTGAAGGCCAGTTGAACTGGTCCCTAAAGTGTTCTCCCCATCGATCCAATCTCCTGGATTGAGAATGAATAATATGTCCATCTTTCTCTGAGATTGTTTCGCTAACAGTTGGGTTCCTAATACCGGTTTCCTTAACAAGTCTGAACAGTTGCCTGCTGTTACCTATTGCCGCTGCCTTTTCCATCTCTCTTGCTTTCGCTACCCACCACTGTTCACGATCTTTGCGTAGGCTTCTAGTCAGCTTACGCTTAAGCTGACTTCGCTCTTCGTTATGTTCAGAGCCAGATGGAATGAGTTTCTGAGCATCTATCAGGGCAGTAGACGCTACTGAGATCCAGTGTTTCTCCATAACCTTATGGTTTACTGTAGTTGCAGACGTCACTTCTGTTTCTACAGCTTCTCGGATGTCATTCCACACTGCCTCTGTTTAGGCATCGCTTCTAGGGTTGTCACCATTCTTACACTACCACATCTTTTATGTTTGTAGAAAAAATGTTCGATTAGATGTCTGGTTTGTTATTATCTTTTCAGCTTATCAAGGTATTAGTCAGATCTTCGAAGTCAGTTGTCGTCGATTGCCTCAAATTACGGAACCCTAGCTTCTTGTGGAGTATGAACTAGTCTTATATGTAGTAAATAAATAAACAACGTTTATGTCACCGTTGCTTTAATAATTGGAAGTTGAACCATCAGTCAAACTAGAAAAAGCATATTTGTCCATTTATGTGACTGTCCTAACTGACTCGCATAGTGTCCTATTCGCCTCCAACTTTTACTAATACCTTCCTTAACTGAAAGCTGGTTTGTTCTATGTCACAGTACGTTATTGCTAATGCTCCCTGGACAATGAATCTGGAGTATCTTGCGTAGATAGCTTTTATAAGCACTTTTTTCGTTTTGGTAGTGGTTGTAGTAGTCTTCAAGTTTAACCTTCGTACAATGGAACTGTTTTTACGTTTAGAGCTGGAAGTTTGACGGGAAGTTGTTCTGATTCTCTGATATACGATTATAGGTATGCTGGCCTTACTTCGCTAATGCATGCTTCCAAATCTGCATCATATCCTTTTTACTTTTCAATGATGCTGTCCAGGTGCGTCAAAGCAACCACCTCTTCCATATCTCCAAGTTTGATTTAGATGGTGCTCACTGAGCTGTATTTCAGGATCTTGCTTGTTTCCTTGTATATGTTGAGTCCAACTACAGCTGCTGCTGCTACGTTGGGTGTCTTCACCTGCATTTTAAATAGAGCAAGAACAAAGGTTGGTGCAGAATAATATGAATTCATTTTATTTCGTTAGGTTCTCATCAGCTGCTTACAACCTAATATATTTGAAATTCAACGTTATTACAGACATTGACATACATCAGAGGGTGATGAAGGATGAATATAAGTAACATGATGTAGCAAAGATTCCGTTAGAGTTAATGAGGTCATAAAATTTTCTGTTTCGAATATATAGAGTTTGGGAGGGAAAGTTCCATAACATAGAAATAGTGATTAGAACTCATGGAATTAAAATACTTTAGATAATTATGTAATGAAGTAACTGAAAAATAGATTAATGGTAATAGAGAGAGATGAATTGAAATTGGTCAGTTATGAATGATGTAATTATAATGTTCAGAAAGAGTTCGAATGACGTCATAAATAAAAGACATTTCCTTGACACCGGACACGGAATCGATATACTGAAGTCCTTCAAGGTGATCAACCAACAATCAAATTCCAACCTTTTGAAATTCGCCGAAGCCATAGCAATCAAAAGTTTAAAACCAGATCTTTGTATACAAAAAGAAACAGTAATAAATCTTTCTTTGCCCTGGTAACATTACCACCCCTTTTATCTATTACGTCATTCCAACTGATGAGAACCTAACGAAATAAAATGAATTCATATTATTCTGTACCAACCTTTGTTCTTGCTCTCTTTAAAATAATAAAGGGAACTATGTATGAAATTTCACCTGCATTTGTTTTTGTGTAAGGAATAGAGGAGCTAGGTCATCTACGAAGTCCTGATCGTCTAGCTGTCCATTATTTTTCATGCTTCCCCTGAAATGTGGAGGTCTCTTGATAATCCAGCCGATCACCAGAAAAAAGAAAGGGCTAGAGTAAGCAGCCTTGTCTGACTCCGGTTTTCACTCGGGGTGGATCTGTCAGCTGCTTTCAATACACGAGTTTCCAGTTCAGTCTCATGAGAGTTTCATATGATGTTGATGATCTCATGTACTCCAAATTGTCAAAGAAGTTTCTACAAACTTTCTGTATACATTGTTGAGTTCACTCATAATCTAATTTAATTTACAACGACACTTTCCTTCCAATTGATCCTTACGAAACCCAGCTTGTTGGTCTCCAAGTTACGTATCTGTTGACTTGTAATAGGCATATTAGCTGGATTTACGATTTTGTACTAGAACACATTGGGCTGCGAAGCAAAAGCAATAGTTTGCTGATATCAGTAGATTTCATCAATTCATAACCAGGTTACCAAAACATCTCTCACGAAGTTAGTCATTTCTGTCCAAATTTTGTCTAATCAGCTTCACGTATTCGAAGCAAAGTTATGTTATATCTCCTCATTTTCTTTAGCCATTTGAATAATCCTCCCGGCTTCATACATTGTTCAGACATTCCACATACCTGTATTAATTGTTGCTTTGATTGTCAGAAGGGAGACCGATCTCGCATTATCTTAAGAATGTCAAATTCCACCATGAGGCGTCACAGCTCTCCTCGACAAAAGCTGTTCAACACCCATGTTTAGCTGGTGAATTAAACATGTCGTGACTGAAACTGAAAATGATACGCAGTAGTAAGGAAAGCAGAAGATATGGGAGTAGTAGTGATAATTAACCGAGAATAGTTGTTTAGACATATTGAGGAAATTATTCTTGAAAAGTCAATAAATGATTGAACTTAGAAGGATGAACCAGTTGTCCATTATTAGAACAGGTGATGGTAGCGATCACTAAGATAGATCTGTTGTCAGAAGCGATTACTTCGTCTATCTGTGATCAAACTTATAATTTCAGTTTGTTAGACATGATGAAAGTTTTTTCGTTGTTTGCTGAGCAAATCTAGTTTGACTGTGGTGTAACAATCGCTTAGTGAATTTGTGGTTTTTGATTTTTGCGTATAGCTGTGCAGAAAATACAGCATGAATCTTCTAACAAATCACTCGTCTTTCTTACATCTCTTCCTTCAATTATCAACTAAGTTTTCTTCAATTCTGACTAGAAAGACTTAAATTTTCAATCAAAAATAATCATAGATAAATTTATGGATTTCTACGATGTCTCACAGCATATTGTGGTTTTTAGTAATTTGTCTTCGACTAAAGTTACGATGCAGATGTAAATTGCACCTATAGACCCATACACAGCAAATTTGATTAATTAAGTATTCAAAGAGTTACAATATTGGTTACTTCGGATGGACGAATTTGGAAATGTAACTGAATTCTGCTGTAATTCATAGTCTGGGTCGGTTGATTACAAAGATTGTTGGATTCGACTTTACACGTCAGTCGGATGATTCTGATGACACTGATAACAATAAAAGATGACTTTTCCCGGAGAACGGACTTATTCGACCCCCGAATGTCCTGATACGGCCAAGAGTGCGTAAAGTCAACTATCCCTCTCGAAATGCTCTCACACGTTCACGCGTATACAGCCACTAACTGGGACGTCCTACTCACTCCTTTCTCGAGACAAGGGTAATGTTTACGAAATCGAGAGGACAAAATGCAAATGTCCGACGCTCTAACCGGGTCGGTGGACACGGAGGACCCACTTAGGGGAGTTGCAAAACCCTGATTCCAAACCAATTGTGCACATGGGCTCTAGGATCCTGAGCGAACAAATGGCGTATGAACGTATTGTTGGTCACCGGCTACCATGGGAGTGCATCTCCTAACGTTGCTCCACTGCCTTGTGGATTAGACCTGTAGGTCAAAGGCTCGGGTTTGTGGCCCCTAAGGGAACCACCTGCTTCAGTCTGGGTGTCTGGGCAGTATCCCATTCTTCGCACAAGTCGAGTGACTTGTGTGGCGCATGTGTACTTGGTGCTTCTCTGTGCCATTATTTATGTGTTCAAATGAATTAATAAATCATATATTTACGTTCATCTACCGGTTAGTGTTCCACTTATTGGCTTTGACGAACGGAAAATTTTGTCTCATATTAAAAATTTTATGCTGTAAATTCCCCAAATTCTCCCATTTCATTATTTTTGGGTGTTTTTCGAATCAATAGATAAGAGTTGATTACACCTTGGTATTGTTTTCATTATAAGAGGAACTTGAGTTAAGGTTATACATCTGCCAACTTTATGCAACAATATGTGGTTCATGTCCTAACTTAAAACAGTAAATTCTATATTGCGTAGAACTATCCTCGCTATCTTACGTGACTCAGTTATATAAATTATACATCTTATCTCGTTGATTTATTCATATTTATTTTTCCCAGTTAATCACAGTTACAAATCTCTGCCTTTGAAACTAAAGACGATTGATTTTCTTGTTTGTAGCAGTTGCAGTTATGACTAGTGGCCTAGTACCCTGGAATATGAACCTGATGAAGTGGAGGTTTATGTTCAGCATCTGCATTAATGTTTTCTAAGATTGACTACTTACTCGTTAACCTACTATTTTGTTTTGTTAATAAATGTAACCAACATTGACATAATGAGTGAATTCTTTTCGCAAGCAGTTTTAGTCAATCTGTTTCGATAAATGTAATATCTCTTCAATTCTAATTTCTTGTGATAAATAGTGGAATGTATATGAAATATTATGCACATGTTGGGCAAAACATTAATTTCATCAATATACATTTATTTTTATTTTATATTCTGGTAGGTCTTGAGAACAAAAATAACATCTCTACGACAACCCATGTTAGCCCTACCTTTCCGTTACAGAGCGGGTAAGTTCGCTCCATTTAGAAAGTATTGCCACTTCCCTGTCCATTTATGATATAATGAGTACCAGTATTAAATCACTTTTCGTAATTTTCATCACTTAAAGTCCTCCGCTTGACTGAGACCTTTTTCAATATTTCGGGGCATGTTCCACCCATAGGTGTCCTTAAAATTAGATGATATCTTCAACTTTCATCTAACAGACATGAGTTGCGACCTAAAGCACAAACCACTCCATATCTTATTACAGTCTTTTCTTCCAAATATGGAGTATACAATTCTTTATTCAGCGTAGTGTGATCAGCTTATCATTATGAATTTATTACTTAAACTTTCTTAGACATAGTTTAACAATAAAATTCCCACAAAACCTCTTCTGATAATAAATTTTTTATATAGGTAATATTGAGAGTATTGTAAATGCTTCTAGGTCATTGATATTTCTTATTTATAACATACAAAAATTCTAGGGCACTAAAATTTTCCACGTGACCGCTAATCTTTTGAAGATATAGATAAGGGATCGGTTTTAAATCCGAATCGGTGTGGCAAGGAAAACGATTCACTTAAGAGTTCTAATAAGCTAGGTTTTGTTTCATTCAACAGGGTCCATCATCGTTTTAGGGAGAGGAAAATGAAAAACTACTGCAGGGTCATTAAATTTTAATCTGTTCCACTCTTGGTAATATCTTACTGATTTTCCACTTCACTAAATGAACTTGTAGTCACTAGCCAAGGGTCGTACAACAGACTGATCGACTTTGGTGAAGCAACAGACCAGTTTATTTGTCCTTCAAAGCGTTCCGTGCAGGATTTGAGACACTTAAACGTTATTAATTGGCATGTCATCAATCTCACTATTTTTTTCACAGGGATCAGATTTTTTCTTCCAATGGTTCAAATGGGTTAACTAGGTTCGAGTCGTTACCAGATTCATCTGCTGCTTTGACCTCGGCAGCGCACTCCGTTCACCAGGTTTTTCGGTTTCATTCAGACCTTACAAAAGTTTTAAAGTTACGGACATGTGCATCTGATTGAATTTGCGGTTTACCGGAGTAGACCATCGTACCTCCAGAATTTGTTAGAAGCCTAAATCTTATTAGCAGTGGGGCAAGTAACTTGACTATTTTAGATTTCCATGCACTAGTGTTGTTGAAAATATTGTCATATTTTAGTTCGGCTACCAAACTTTTATGTAGTAAGCCAGTATTGCATAATCTGTGGCATGGCATCGGCAACACATGATTCAAATAGTTTAAACCCATGACTTCCCTCGTATTTGATGACTGTCGAGAAATTTCTAAGGTGGTGCTTTGTATACCTTTATATGTACTGAGTAGCAGTTCGTTCCGTTCTAATTTGTAGATGTGAAACATGGTTATTAGGAGTAGAGGATATTCGTAGGTTACTGGAATTCGATCAAAGGTATCTTCGGAGCATCGCTGGTGTATTTTGAGACCATCGAGTTACCATTACCTTGGTCAGGAATAGGGGACCAGGTAAAGATGGAAAGGCGATTGATGAGGTGGTGAACCTTCATCAACTGAGCTGGCTAGGACATGTATTGCGTATGCCCAACCACCAATGTTGTCTGATGGATAGGTAGTCTGGAAAGAAACTAAGGGCGCCCAAACCAGAATATGGTACCAGTTTATGAAGATAATGGCAATTGTACTGAATCACGTTAACGGTAGACCACCTGGTTTTGGTTCGCGTGATTGTTGTAACTCCATGGCTAGAGACTTTGAATGAAATGGTCCACAGTTGTTTGGAATGGTGCATGTGCATCCTTACTATGTCTTCCCCTAAGACCCGTGATTCTAAATCCCACGTAACTTTTGTTTTTATTTCACTAAATTGTATTTTCTCGAATCGAATCTTCAATGCCTAATCGTCTTAATCACAAATGATACTGCATCTGCTATTCTGGTGTTTAGTCTAGCGATTTCATCTCTGTACTAGTGGGGTACGGCAACATGAAAAGATGTGCACACGTTTATTTTTATTTATTCAAACACAAATATTGGTACAAAGGGGCAGCAAATACATATGCGCCACACAAGTCACTCGACTTGTGCGAAGAATGGGATACTGCCCGGACACCCAGACGGAAGCAGGTGGTTCCCTTAGGGGCCACAAACCCGAGCCTTTGACCTACAGGTCTAATCCACAAGGCAGTGGAGCAACGTTAGGAGATGCACTCCCATGGTAGCCGGTGACCAACAATACGTTCATACGCCATTTGTTCGCTCAGGATCCTAGAGCCCATGTGCACAATTGGTTTGGAATCAGGGTTTTGCAACTCCCCTAAGTGGGTCCTCCGTGTCCACCGACCCGATTAGAGCGTCGGACATTTGCATTTTGTCCTCTCGATTTCGTAAACATTACCCTTGTCTCGAGAAAGGAGTGAGTAGGACGTCCCAGTTAGTGGCTGTATACGCGTGAACGTGTGAGAGCATTTCGAGAGAGATAGCTGACTACACACTCTCGGCCGCATTTAGAGGCATATATACCTGTCTGGACATTGCAACTGACTTTTTGTGTCATTAACTTCCGAAATCAAATTATCATATCTAATTAGTCAGTTGCTTGTTCGGATAGCGGTTTTTGCGGCTGCCGTTTCATGTATATAGTAAAATGTGGTTTTGAATAAAGGTATTAGTAAACTTGTCTTTTATGTTTGAAATGGCCAAACTTGACCGCTACTGACTATTACTCAAATATTTCTCATGCTCTAAAATTACTCACTTTTAACACAGATATTGTCAATCGATATTGTTATTTGTTATCCAAGTATAAATGTTGTACATTGCTTTTTTGTAATTATGCGGTTATTTTCTTTAATTTCATTAAGCGCGTTACGGACTAGCGCTCCCAATCGACTGAATACCGACTCATTTCTGTTCAATAAAGGCAATCCCGGACTAGACACATCGGCATCTCCTTGTAATTTTTCAAATGTTAGCAAATCCGCTAATACGGCTGAACATACACCAGACGTCGTAGACAAAAAGGAGATCGTAAATCTACCAAGTCCTACTTCTGCTTCCCCATCAGTTCGTTCAAGTCATTCTACCGCTATGACAGTTGACGTCACAACTAAGAGAGGTTTTTCACCTGCTGCACTGTCGGAAAGTGGGTCTAGACTAGAAAAGATTACGGATACCCTAAACAGCTTCGAGATGAAGTCTTTTTTTGATCCCATATTTATTTCTAAATATCAAGATGATACTTTACAACGTCTTGAACAAGAAGTAAGTATAACCCCTATGAAATGATTATCAGAACCCCCAGTTGTGTCATAATCTTCATTCAAATTAATATTTTCTTGTTTCAGGCTCAAATTGAGTCGAAAAATTTCGATCGACTTCAGAGCGTTCTTTATGGGGAACTATCAGCTGAATCCAAAAAGTTGCGCGCGTTAGTTCGAATAAGTGAAGCAAAACTCGCAATTCATAAAGAGAAGTGAGTGTAGAAAAGTATTTAGTTCTATGATTGTTATTCTTCAGCTTTACTTTTATGTTGAAAATCTTATTATGGTGATAAATTTATTTGTTCCTAGTATATGATGTGGCATTCATTGTACTACCGATTAGGATTCAACTGCACCTAGTAAACTCAGCGATTGGTTTTAACTAGTTGATATATGACAGGTTTTTATTTACGTCGTAGCTGGTCAATATTGATTGTTAGACGAAAAAGCAGCCCATCGCATTACCCAGATATTTTCGACCCGGGTGTTCACATGTCATCCGAAGCTTTAAGACTACCGCTCAACGGAAAAATTTGCTGTTTCAAAAAAGGTCAAAATTATAAATTATTATTAGTGTAGACATTAATCATCCTGGGCTATAACCTTATGTTTCCATACTAACGATCAAAGAGTTACGCAAAAAGGGGTAAGCACTAGTTTTCTTGAACTTCCATCGGCTGTAATCCGTACAGCCTAGAAGGACAATTTCACGCTAACCGTGTAAAAAATAGGTTTTCGTAATGAAATAAATAATTTTTCGAATGTGTCAAAGTTCAGGACAGTCATAAGATAAATAGCTAACAAAATGTTGAGAATTAAATACTGCTTACGGCAATATTAATTGGCTCTTCTATGATCAATCAGACAGACTAATCTACAAGTATATAGAAGACACAGCCACTCGTTACTGAGGTATAGAAAACGTTCGGATACTCAGGTACATTAATCACATTCGTACCGTGCACTACGGTAACCATTCTAAATAAGGTTTTAAATTTACTTATGCTACATATGGACAAATGTTAAGATTTACCTGTCATCTTGCTGGTATGAAACAGTTTGTTAATTACCAGTATAGGGTTGTGGAAATTACTAAGTTTTTGATGGAGATCATGAACCGATTCATGTAAGAGCACCATTGAAGACGTGGAAGCTCTAAACAGCCGTTTCGTCACACTATGGGACTCTTCAGCAGTGCGCATCTACGATTTCGCTCGCTGGATCCGTACGCAGGGCCTCCAGTCTCGCCCGCGAACGCCCAACATCTAGCCCACTGAGCCGGCATCCAACGATGTTAATGTCTAACCTTCCAGGTTTTCAATGGTGGCCTAACATCAATCGGTTCATGATCTCATTCAAAAAGTGTGTTAATTCGTTAAGTGAAATGCAGCGTATACTTTTTATTTCTCTTATTCAGACAAACAGCATTGCAAGAACTAATGGACGCGATTGAAGTGCGAAAACATCTACCTAATCTGTCTTTCGTAGATGATGTATTGTAGATAATTCGAACTTTTGTTACATACTTTCCTCGTGTGATAATGTTGGTTTTTCCGGACCCTGTTCAACTTGTCCAACTTCATGGTGGCTGTTCTATCACAGTATTTCCCAAGTCTCGATAACTGGACATTCGTTTTGCATTCTATCTAAACACCATAATCTTGTTTATTTCCCTGGAACTGGCTATCAATCCTTATTCTATTTTCTTATAACTCTCTTCAATCCATTGTGTATTAATGATCAACATTTTTTTTGTAAGTGATTGTACAGTTGTACACTTTCTTAGACTTTATCAGAGTTTAACTGATGTTTTCTGCTCTTTTTTGGACAATTGCCTAATTCAATAAAATTATGAAGAAAACCCACTGAAGTCAAAAGTATTTAAACAAACTGAATATTTTTATTGAAATTCAAACATAAAAAAGTACATAAGCGCACGAGGGTATGTGCTATTGATTACAAGGAGATACACAAATGTTCTTACATCACTAAAATTGTGAGCAAGGAATAAAAAATTAATAAGGCGCTGTACAACTCTTTACACGGAACAAAATAACAAGAGTAAGTAAATCACTATGTCATTTAAAAGATTGGTTCAAGGTCTAGTTGAAGGTGATGAAATGGAAAGAAAATGTATATTTAGACAGTAATTTAAATATCACCACGAGTGCTTTCGCGCCAACCACCATTCAGTTTAGTTGATGCTAGTGACGTACAGCAGCCTCCTGAAGTATAAAAAGATGTCAAAAATTGAAACAACGTCGATAATTCATAGTTCATTAAATATATGCTTATTTGGAAATCCACTGAACCTAACTTCTGTTGAGTTAGTGCGTTCAATAAGCGTTCAGGTTAACTAATCACGTTTTTAAGTACAAAAGTTATTTACAAAGACAAGCTTTCCATATATATTCTGCAGAAACAGCAGGTCTTGAGACCGATCCCTAATCGTAGGTGGATTCCTAAGCTAACATAGAACAGCTGTTCAGTTCTAATTTGTTTTCTTAATGGCTTCCAATCTTAGCAGGTCGTGACAACAACTACCTTCAAATCGAGCAGCCTCTAAACTGAATATGTTATAATGGTTTACTTGAAATTGTTTCTAAACAAAAATACTGAAAACTTTGCTTACTGAGTCCAATCTGTGGATGCTGTTTACTTTCTCTGATTGTGAGTTAGAGGTAGGATTATCGTCGACAGATGCATCAGCGATTTCTGGCACTGTAGAGCGTATGATAGAAAATGGCATAGCAGGAGAATATGTAGACGGTTCAGTATTCCTTGGATGGCTTGTTTTATTAATCTGGAGAGCGAATTCGACTGGACCATCGCATACCACACATGACAGAGTCGATTTGGATTCCCAAAATATCTGTCAAGAATAATATGTACTTCCATTTTAGACAGCACAGATTAACATTCATTATAAAGGTATACACGATGATAATTCCGGACTTACTGAGACGGGGTAATGATAATTACCACAAAAATCGACGATTCATTTGGCATAATTTGTTTGTTGCTGTCGTTTTAAGTATATGACCGCTAATCACTAGATATTCAGGTGAATCTCCGGACGATAAGATTTCACATAGACTACGGGGATTTCAGGATTTAAGTATACAGACTTTGACATGCAGGGTCTATTACAGATAACAATAATCGTATGTTTAGCATATATAATTTCTGTGAGTACGAAATTCATCTACAAATCCGGCCAGATGTAAATAAACGGGTTCTGACTGACTTAGGAAAAAATGTGAAAATAACTAGTTTTGTACCATAAAATAGGAGTTCTAGTCGCTTGATTAACTGATTTGAAGTTTTTATCGACCGACAGATTACTGCGTAAAATGTAAATATTGTGCAAATATATTGATGAAAGCAGTGACAAATCATTCTACACAGTTTTTCTGCTTTAACCAAAATATTATTACTCATGCAGTAGTGCGTATATGGTAAGTTAGTGTTATCAGATACTAATTTAAAGATGTAATTGATCAAAGCGTCTCATCTTAGTGGATACGCATGATATTATCCCAAGTCATGAATCAATGTGATCAAACAGATCAGACGTTTCTTAAGATTATGGTCCTCGCCAATGATTTTAAGACGTCGGCTATTATTATTATTTCGAGAACTGATCTACATGAATCTACTTGTTTAGGATAAGCGTAAATTGGAAAAGTTCTTACGTGCAAAACTTCATCAAGAGTAACTCCCATTAACCAATGTCCATTGACCTCCAATAATCTGTCACCTGGCTTCAATCTGCCGTCTCGAGCAATGACACCATCTGGTGAAACCCATGTAACAAATATTCCGTCATCATTGGCTAGTGTTGAGTAATGTGATGCTAAATTAGTTATCACGTTACTATCACCAGTGTTAAGTCCACCTGTAACCCGTAATCCATATCGTTCTCCAGGTCGTTTCGTCACAGTGATACGCTGAATTAATAAAGAAATGTCGCATCAAAGTGATAAGATCATATTTGGAGGCGGATTTTATATATGAAGAATTGTTGTTTAACTTACCCTTAGCCCTGGCGGCGGTGGATCTCTCCGTACATCTAATTGTAGTTCTTTAACAGGCTGGATTAAAGCTTGTACTGCTTCATCATGTGTAGCGTGTCTCAAGTCGACTCCATTAACTTTAAGCACTCTATCTCCGATACGTAAGCCAGTATTAAGAGCTGCACCATCTAGGGAGATCTATAATGATCAAAGTAAAGATTAAGGAAAGTAAATGAATCCCTTAAATATGATACAGAAACATTCCTGGCTAGTCAGTTTTTTTACAGTCAAAAGAACCTTTAATTCTACAACCACCAAAGCTCGAATTAATACAAATAGTGTTTAATTGATTGTTCTTCTATGATTTTCTCGGAATTTCATTCATGGAAGTTTGGATAAAATAAAAAGTCTAACAACTGCCCAAGCAGATCGTATATGTTTAATAAAGAAGGAAGTATGTTACTTGTGCAGATGCACTGCACGATATTGGTCCGAGGCAATGACTGGTGAAAACGAAGAAGATTGTCATTCCATTTCATAAAGTTTGTTTCTCTACATACATTTTGAGTAAAAGAAGCCAGATCATATGGTGTCGCATGATAATTTAGATACAAATATGAACGAGTCATTGTAAAAGAATTTTTTTTGCTAACGAAGGTTATCACCCACCCGAGTTCAGTTCAGCCACCTCGAAAATGTTGCGAGTACTATAACGATTCTGAACAATAAAGACTCCTAAACAGTTTGTCTTTTCTGAACTTGGTCGAAGATCAAAAGCATATGACATTTAGTAAATATTTGCAGGAAGTAGTTATCATCGTCCAGTTTATCAGACTAAGCACAATATCCCCATAGCTGCATTCAGTTTTCTCAGTATAACAGGATAAGTCTTACAAAGCGTTCTTTTTTGTATTACACGATTTCTTTATAGAAATAAATTTGCGTATAACATGGAACATAGTGAAATGAGATTCATCTGCGAACAATCGACTATTACCTTGGATATAAAAATACCTGGTTCTTTGTTACCAAACGGAAGGCAACTAATATCGGATCCTCCGCAGATAGCTAAACCCAAAGGTCCACCATCATTGCGAACTGTAATTCTTTCCACAGGGATACCTTTTTCACTATATAAGTAAACCCGAGAATCACATTTCTCAGAAATATGACTGTCTGTATTTGTCAAATCTGTAGCCTTTGTCATATTTTGTGGATTATTCGATCGTTTAACTGTCAGAATTGATGATGACGTTACAAAACCGTTAGGTGCTGTTAAAAATAAGAAAAGAAACAAAACCCAAACCTAGGAACTTTTATAAATCATCAGAAATGTAGAATATCGAAAACCGAAAAGATGATAAACTTTGGACCCTACCTATCCTTTACTTTAGAAAAAATAACGAATTTATGTGATCTCGAAACCATCATTAAAGGGTAAATTTAACGAATAATATATTTTAATAACAAATATTTCTACGGGTAATTTTAAGTCATAGTAATCTTACGTACAAGAATCAAAATATACCACAAATTTCAATATGCATAAAATATACATTTACATCATCACTGAAATACCTGTAAAGCTTGTGCCAATATGGTAAACGATATTTATCTAGAGTAATAATATTCTATACGATATCTAATTTGATGTTGGAATCGAGGATTCTCAGCGCAACATGTATAATATTACAAGTTTACTGTATTAGGCCCGTTTCTGGGTATCAGAAAAGATTTTGATTGGATCTTCTTTAAAATAATGGCATATATTTTAACAACAAATTTTTTCGGTCAGTCTTGCTGGTCTGGGAGGATCAAAGTAAGAAACAAACCGACTCAGGCCGTTTGTTGTCTTACTTTTTGACTGGAAACGTAGTTGAAAATTTTAGATTTGAAACACTGAACATTACTCCTTACAAGACACTGAAATACCAAAGTTATCCCAACAACAATCCATCCAATACATCACTGTCTATGATTGATGCAGTCTCTCGGTATGATAATGTCTATTTTAAAGAAAATCAAAAACTTGTAGTTCTGATCTCATACCAAAAAGTGTGAAATTCATTGGGAATCTGTGACTAGTTTTTTCGCATATTCATTATGGTTTTACTCATAATGACAAGAAAGGAATACTCAAAATATGCTTACATGTTTTCGGAAGACTATCGAGATTGTCGGTGGTGTCAGGATTATAACGAAGTAATTCCAAGTCTACCGAATCGTTAGAACTTGTTAACAACGAAATAGCTTCATCGTGACGAGCGTTTCTGATATCGACACCGTTTATCTAAAAAATAGAAAAAGAAACGAACGCTATTCAGATAATTTGCACTCGAAAGATATTTCGCAACAGTTTTCTGCTGAGGTAAATCTGGGAGAGCGAACTAAATTTCTTTTTGATGTAATAAATAAGTTGTAACAGGTAGTCCAAATGAATGTTATGGAAATAAGTTTTTTGCTTAATTAAAAAGAACTTTGTTAATCTATAAAACGATTAAACCTGCAGTAAAGTGCTGCAGTTCGAAAGACTACATAATCAAAAACTATTCAAATAAATTTTCAGCTAAGAGGAAAAAGTGATTCATCATTACATCTTTACAAAGCAAATCAACTATCAGAAATTATTCCCGGAAATTTCACTTCATACAGTACGAAAAGACAAAATCAGCAACCACAACAAACAACTAAAGATGAAAACTCACAATACGATGGTGTAAACCCATGAAAAAGAAGATTGATAATAAATATTTTTGTCAAACATATTGAAACAAGACGTAGTGAATATCAAGATACATCTAAATACTTAGAAATAGTAAGTAGTATAACCACAAAAGTGAAAGTTTTGCCCGAACCTATGTTAAAGGACAAATATCGTGCTTATCAGAAAGGATTGATAAACACCACAAAGGAAATCGTTAAAAAAATTGAGGTATATTAAATAGAAAAAACTACAACATATGTAGAGCGGGAATATAAAACTTACGCTAATAATTTGATCACCAATTCGAAGTTGGCCTTGTTTATGAGCGGCTCCACCTTCTGTTATTTTACTGATATATATAGCCTAAAATGAAAAGGCATATACAAGTACAATTTTCTCAATCAGATTCAAACAATTTAACATCAGGACACTTGAATACTCTCTTGCCATTGAAATAGTAGGTACCTCCATCAATTTGTAAAGTGATGGCGCTAGAAAGCTACCTGTGTGTCGACCTTGCTGTGGAAGTTTAGACAGTGAATTATGACAAACCTGATAGAAGTTTGAACATTTTACTATTAAAAATGAAAGAATCTAAAGCAAAAGAAAAATCAAAACTTTAATTAGTAGACAAATAGCTACAATTCCGCGACTATCTCATGAAAGCTTACGGGTTTACATCATAGCATTGGGTAAATTGTTCTAGATAATAATATATTTAAAACAGAAAGCTAGTTGAATACCAGTGGAACTATCTTATTTCATTTAAGATTATTCAGTCTGTCATTGGATTTAGTATCTGAAGGGGTGAGCTGTAGAATACTCATTTTCATTGAAAAACTTGTCTATGATTATAGACTACTTTAAACTGCTTACTTATGTATACTAACAACCTTTACTGCTGTTTTAACAATCCAATAGAATTACGCTCACCTATTGCCCCCAAATGCCCTGGTACGGCCGAGAGTGGGGAGAGTCCGCTCTCCCTCTCGAAATGCTCTCACATGGCCATGCGTATATAGCCTCTGCCAGGGAAGTCCTACTCACTGCCTTCTCGTGGTAGGGGTGTTGGTTACGAAAATGAGAGGACGAAAAGCGAATGTCCGGCGCTTTAACCGGACCCCAAACCAATGGTGCACATGGGCTCCAGTATCCTGAAGGAACAAATGGCGTATGAACCAATCGTTGGTCACCGGCTACCATGGGACTGCATCTCCTTACGATGCTCCACTGCCTTGTGGGTCAGACGTTCAGGTCGAAGGCTCGGGGTGTGGCCCCCTAAGAAAACCACCTGGTTCGGTCTGGGTACCCGGGCAGTATCACAGCCCTCACACAAATCAATTGAGATTCGTGTGGCGCATATGTACTTGGTGCCTCCCTGTACCTATACTTATGTGTTAAAATAAATAAATAATAAATACGCTCACCTATTATACGACGTGTAGTCCAATTAAATCCACATTACTTCCGTTAATATACTAATAACATTTTCAACTTTTAATAAGTTTAAAATAGCGTTTTATTTATGTATTTACTTTCAGTAATGGATGTGAATATACATGCCCTTGGAAAATCATGAACTAGTCTACCGCTCCATTTTAATAGTAATTGATAATTTGTGTATATTGTTTATAGAGGTGCTATTATGTAAATTAGATGGTAATTTCCCTTATTATTTTACTGTATTAACTGATAAGTTAGCAGCGATCATTTAATTTTATTTGAAATTCACTAACAGGGTGTAATTGGATTTTTATTAGTGTACATACTTGAAGTAATAACAAGGATCTAAATTGGTTCGTTTATAATTATATGTTTGGGAGTCGACTAAAGAAAAAAACACTTTTTCGCATTTAAATAAATCTAGTTAAGGAATTATTCAGGGAATGTAATGCATATTCGATAGTTTGTTATTATCAAATACAATTACCTTGTAAATTTACATATTCCATTTATGAAATGATCTTATAAAATTATCATCTACAAAATCTCATTTACTCAGTTGATTGCACTGATGGTATTTCAAAGTGTAGTAATTATAATAAGCAGTAATGATTTGAAACCTACAAAGATTCTTTAAATACTAATGAGTACAAATATCAAGCATAGCAAATCGTGTAACAGTTTAAGTTATTCATTCAACTAATCACTATTATTTAAATATGAATGAATACACATTCTATCTATAAAACCTTTCAGTGATACCTGTATTCAAACAATCGATACAGATTAAGGTTTAATACAGTATCATGCACGTAGTCTCTTAAGCTATATAAATTTTATACTGTAACTTTGGTGAGATAGTGATTCATTTCTATAAATTTAACATCAAGATAACAATAGATTAAATAGACTATACCATAGATTTAATGAATGGTAGAATTAAAATTCAATAAAAGATACACTAACGATTGGAAACAACTTCCATGAATAGACATTTTATTTTCAAAAAAAAAAGTTGGATAAGCTTCATTTCATCACTTGATAAAAGATTATAATGGCATTATGTACAATAACTAGGTATAGTATTCAACTAAACACTGAACATAAAATTTCAAAATTATTTACTTATGTCTAATCGATTCGCCAGAAATATGAACAATTTAGTTTTACTGTTATAATAAATTTGATAATGAAAAGAGATTATAATCATAATAACAATACAATTATTAACCTTGATTCAATGGGGAAAAAATCTCAATCAATAGTAGATATGACAAGGCATTGTCAATTATTTTTTATGTTTCACAATTGTAATATATTTTTTGTGTTTTGATTTTATATTGATAAGAGGAAATGTTTTTTTTTATTTTCCGAGTTCAATCGATTAATTACTTAATTATATTTTTTTGTATAAAATTAGTCCATTTTTAGACAAAACTAGAATAAATAATTGTTTGATTATTAGTTAAACTATTCGTTCAACTTTCAATAATCCAATGAGAAGATGAAGTGTTATCAGAATTATGTGATATATATTTGCACAATACATTTTGAACAATCTGATCACACATAATATACTTGTTAAGATTTCTGTATAAAAATTATAAAAGGTCAACTAGACAGGTTAAAGGTAAGTCGTAACAAAGAAAAATATTGTGATAACCACTGTTATAATAAATCAGTATTACCAGGGTAGGACAAATTGTTTTTGAACACATGAAGAGGGTTTGAATTCCCGTATAACCAAGGCTTCAATAAACCTTAGTATACATCATTGAAAGCTTTTATACAACACTAAAAATGCTGACTTGATGTCAACTTTATGACTAGTCTCAATCAAATGTTTCGCAATGGAGGATGATGTCTGCCTCTATCCTATGATCTTATTTAATCAAATGTATTGAGCAAATATATCACATGATTCTGATAAACTTCGTTTTTTCATTGCATTATCGAAATTTATCAAAGGGACTTATTATTAACTTAACGTTTAGTATCAAGGTTCAGTTAGTAGTTGACTTTAATAATTCTGGTTTTAATAGAATAGTGTCAAATCAACAAAACTTCAATATGAATAAGACAAATGTTTAGGTTCTCAATCGACTACAACCATAACATTTCAAACATTGAAAAAAGAATTTAGTTATATATTGTTAAAAAACTAGTTAATTTATTTAAAATTAAAATTAGATCAAATAAAACACAAGATAATCACATTCAATTTTAATGAAGGATCAACTATAATTAAATTAAAACAAAAGAAAGAATGAAATTATTTCGACAATTAAACATATTTTTGATGAAATTAAATAAAAAAGAGAGGAAAAAAAATTTTTACGACAGAAGGGTTATTTCAATTTCATTCTCTGCGACATAGAGAAATACACATAATTCATCGTAATTAAATAATTAGACGCAATAAGTATAACACTTCATCAATAACATGGACACATATTACATAACAAACACTTAGAGAATAAAAACGACACGGAATAAATTGACACGAAAAAACCGATTACAACGTAGATTAATTAAAGTAAGATAACAAACAAGACCTTTATTTGAAAGTTATCATTGGATGACGAATGATACTTTAGCGGCATTGGAATATCCAACTCCAATTGGATCACCAATTATCGATCTAAACCACGTTAGTGAATAACGGGATTAAGTAAGTCAAATATGTGAATGGATTTCGAATACGTATATTTCCTACAATTGTTGATCTAGACGGGTAAGGCATATAAGCCAACTCACTTTAACCAAGCGTTATAGTCAGACAAAAGTTACAGACGTGTGATGAGTAGAATAAGAAATGCACACACATGCGCTTACGCAAATACAGTCGAGGTTGGTAAGTGAATAATTAACAAGGTTAAAATATGACTCAAGAAGCATTAATAAATTGGCTTGTTCAGAGGCTAGAATAACCTATGTGGGCTTGACATAGTACCAGACTCTACAACACAAAGAAGTACAAACGGAGGGATTCATTTAAAATAAAAATACCTCAGTATAAGAATTTTGTATAACTGGTCGAGAGGTTTATCAGATAAGACAAGAATTATAGTAAAATTGCTAAGTGAACAGGATCGAGTCAGATATTCATTGAACTATAGAACACACATACATTTTTCAAAAAATGTTTGGTTTGAATTGAGACAATAATCCTTGATCGAAAAAGAAATAAAGATAATTCAGTGAAGAAAATTTTCGCTTCCCTAATTAGTTATATAACGTAATATAAAATAAGAAGAGATGCTCGTCTCATTATTTAGAGTAGGAATAAATGGATTATAACTTCAAAAGGGGAATAATAGTAAACTCAAATTTCTGTAAAAATGAATTTAGATGAAATAAAATTTCAGTGTTTCTTCAAGTGATAAGAAATAATTGATACCTGAATAACAGTTATCTACAACAATTAAGAGGGACGAATACATGAGAGGAAGTATAAATTATACACTTTCCTAACCCTTCTTTTCATCATCCTGTTTAAGAAGTTAAACATTTTGAGGAAATATTCAATACATAACAAGATTAGACGAGAACAAACATTAAATGATATAATTTCCTGCAAACAAACAAGATTATTTTACATTTACGAGGAAAAAAAGTTAAGATTAAACAAGCGTGAGAGTGAATACATAAAGGTTGGTGTCAAAGGTTTTGAACAAATAACAATCACAACAATGATAAAAGTGGACTTTATCCGACTCATTATTATTTATAGTACAATAATAATAATTAATGTACGACCATTTGAGAAAAATTCGAAATTAAAGATTAAATAAAATTAACATTGAAAAAAATTGAGACGAGAGGGGGAATAAATCCCACAAAACAGTATGATTGATGTCAACGATATAAACTATAAACCTACCTCAAGATATTTGTAATTCTATAAGAAAAACAATATGGTTCCATGTCAAAGAGAAAGACAAGTTCGTAAAAATGATTACGTATCTCTTAACAAATCGACGATCAACTATTATTAATAATAATAAAGGAAGTAGTAGAAGTTGAGCCAAAGTGAAATAGAAATCATATTCTGAATTCATGTAGACTTAATAATTAGAACATAATAACAGAAGAAACAATAATGGTAGAAGTAGTAGTAATTAAATTTACATTTAGAATATGCAGAGTTACTACTGATGAAATATTTACATGTATTTTAAGAATAACTATGCCTAATAAATAATGATGTTAAATGCTTGAATTATTGAGTATCCTTGGTGTTCAAACAAAAACACGTAAATGTTCTTAATTAGACATTCATCAAGCTTTATACTCTAATTTATTAATATATATATTACGATTTTCAAGTGATTAAAAGGATTATTTGTATAATTCTTGTTGGATATTTTTTATAAACTACTGAGTTTCATAAATTTATATTCTCAAAGTTGGATGCAAACATGCCAACTTAATATCCAGTATGTAGTTTACGTATTTGCTCTATACATTCCGAACAATCTGTATAGCGCAAATACATCACATTTTATAGACCAACTCCATCTTCTCATTGTTCTATCGAAATTTATAAAAGGGACTAATTGCTTCACATGCAGTTTATATTTATTAGGATTAATCATGCAATTTTCTTTCATGATTATTAACATTAACTCATAGATTGTCTGAATATATGTTCTATATATATTACTAACTTACACTAAAGCCTGATGGTATTTGTTTATGCCCCAAACGCCCTGGTACGGCCGAGAGTGGGGAGAGTCCGCTCTCCCTCTCGAAATGCTCTCACATGGCCACGCGTATACAGCCTCTGCCAGGGAAGTCCTACTCACTGCCTTCTCGTGGCGGGGGTGTGGTTTACGAAAATGAGAGGACGAAAAGTGAATGTTCGGCGCTTTAACCGGATCCCAAATCAATGGTGCACATGGGCTCCAGTATCCTGAAGGAACAAATGGCGAAAGAACCAATTTCTTGGTCACCGGCTACTATGGGACTGCATCTCCTTACGATGCTCCGCTGCCTTGTGGGTCAGACCTAAAGATCAAAGGCGCGAGGTGTGGCCCCCTAAGAAAACCACCTGGTTCGGTTTGGGCACCCGTGCAGTATCACAGCCCTCACACAAATCAATTGAGATTTGTGTGGCGCATATGTATTTGGTGCCTCCTTGTACCAATATCTATGTGTTAAAATAAATTTGTTTATGCATGATGTCGACATATAACTCCTATTTAAGCATTAAAAAAAACGAAGTTAGGCGAAGGTATCTCCTTTCAACGAATTTATTACCAAGCTGTATAGTCGCATATATATATATATCGTATTGTTATTACTCATATTATTTAATGTAGTATAATAATATCCTTATGAATGCATCATCGTTTTTATTCTTCGTTTATATGTCTTCATGGAACCAGTACTTTAACATAAAACATTTTCTTGATATAGACATATACGATTGTACAGCTTGATAATAATTTCGTTGAAAAGAGATCCCTCCGCTGAACTTCGTTTAATATCTGATGTGTTGTTCTAATGATCACAATGAAAATTTTTTATTATTTTAAAATCCTTATAATTACAAGCATGAATTATTATCTATTGGTTTTACATACACAATTTTATTGAAGTGTATCTCTGCACAAATAGATTAAAATTGTTATTTATTCATTATTTTTATAAAAAGTCAAATATCAAAACACAATAAAAATAAAACAGTGTGAATTGTTGGTTGACTAAGTCATTTCAGTCAGTCAGTCAGCTACAAAGTAGAACCACGTACATATATGCATCGGTCCAAGTTGCCACACCTCATTATCACAGCAAGATGAACGATGGATTCATAGACGTAGTAACTTCAATGGTGGTAATATATAGAAGAAAGAATGTATATAAAAGTATAGTACAGGAAGAAAGAATTAGTTCGTACGAAGAAAGAATTAGTTCGTACGAAGAAAGATATAAAGTGATTTTAATCTCTCAGTTTAAGGGAAGATAGAGTGTATACACCTGCGCCATTGTGATTGATTCCGAGCCATGTCACCAAGAGTCTCAAACCACTGGTTACGATAGTCACTTAAAAGAGGATAGGATGAATATATATATATATATATATATATATATATATATATATATATATATATCACAGAGCAATACGCCATTCACTATTAGAAACAATATAAATTGTAAATGAAAACGGAAGCTTAGAGTAAATAAAATTTTTCTTTATTGTTATTGTTTGAACTATAATATAAAAAAATAGCCCGATAACAATTTAATGAATATCAAAATTTAAAATAATCGTTAGCAAAACTCACTTCATTATCTAATGTTGGAGGAAGTGAGCCTTGACCACCGGCAATACTAAATCCTAGACCATTTAATTCTCGGTGTAATGTACAGTGAATAAACTGTACCAAAAGAAAGAAATTAAGACACAAAATAAGTCGATGTGCTGTAGCATATTCTCTGTAGATTTTCATAATTGGATTATTTACGATTGTGTAATATACAATTAGCAGGTTATGTAATTGATGAACGTTAAATTTTCAATATAAGACATACAATCTGTAATATTAGACTGATAACAGTTATTAGATTAGTCAATATTCGGTACTGTACTTCGGGTGTTTAAGGAAAAGTTTACAGTTAACAAATTGTTACATGTAACAGAGTTTTCTCAGACTTATATATTTGAAAGGAAACTTAGAATATATGATTTTAAAGCACGACAATCCACTTGATAGTTGTGCATTAAAAATCGGTCAAACTATCTATCTATCTATATATTCATTTCTTTTGCGAACGTTAACTTAAAATTATGTTTGGTTTTAGATTTAAAGTTATACCATTATTTTATTCCATAAAAACGTTATTAGTGTGTGGTGACAGTGTGATAATTAAAACTGTAATAAGAAAGGTAAAAACCACTTACTTCAGGTATTTCTTTGGTGTTAATAATTCCCGTAACCTAATTAAATCAATGAAAGAAATGATATGAATAAACATACATTTAGATCAATAAGTATTCATTAAGAGATCTACATTTATAAAGAAGGCGAAAATCTTATACAGAAAACCTTATTAAAATAGTAGGATAATATATTCTCTTAAATGTGATAAAGACTATGGATCTAGTGGATAATATGAAGTCTTAAATCCGAGGAATATTCAATAGTGCTGATCGGACATAAAATACGTAAACACGTCTACTTTGTTTCACACTGATCAATATATTTTGCTTAACTTACAAACAAGAATGTCGAGATTGGGGTTGGATAATACTTGCTCAGTCATCTTGTGATTCAATTCAGAGGTATAAGTGATAAGTAGTTGAATTGGAAACCGATATTTTAGGTTGGTGGTTGAATAAATATAAGTGTTTTTACTCCAGATTTCGACTCATCTTAAAAAGTGATTAGAATAATCTTAGCGTAAAGTTTATTCTGCTGTTGAACTAATCAGTATAAACCCTCCAATCACTTTCTGCTACAATTTAACGCTACTTGAAAATACACATTAACTCATATTTTTGCTAGATAACACTTTCTCAGTGACAGAACAAATGTTGTATTTTTGATATTTCCATAATTTGAGAAGTAAAGAATTGAGGAAAGTGATCAAGTTTGTTGTTGATTTGTGTGTTATCAATTAATGAAAGAAGTCAGTAGATCCAGAGGGTGTGAGCAGTTAGCATCAGGATATATTGTATTACATTGGATAATCAGTCAGTTACCGCTCCATACGTTATTTTAACAATCAAAATACACTAATAGAAAATCTAAAATGTGATCAACAACTGTATATTTTATCAGAACATGATGCATTGTGAGCTAATAAGTAAGATAAACAGTGAAATTGTCTTGCTACACATAAACAAAAAAGAGGATATATGAAGTGATGGATAAAGGAGATATGTAACAAAGAAATCCAGTTTTTTAAATGATTCAATTCTATACAAACTTAAAGACTTAACGATTAACGATGGCAATTTCAGTGTTTTGCAGTCTTATTTACCGTCATGTTTATATAAATCACCAACTGCTTTATGATAGAATAAAAGTTCGTTCAGATGAATCTAAATATAGAGGGAAATAGGGTGAGGAAAATTTGAATTATCCAGGAGATATTTAGAACCTTGCAATACAAAATTCGCGTCAAAATATGAGTTAGTCCAACACGAAATAAGAATGTGAGATAAACACGCAAAACGGTAGAAGTGTTTAACAAAAATAATTTATCGTAAACAATCACGATATATTCAGTACAAGAAATGGTCGGTCGAATAAAGCGATTTATAATACACGTATTGATTATGATTTTGGTTTTTATCAACGAATTAGCTGCATCAACTGAGTACTGTATTGTAACTCCAACTACGTCAACAGGATAAAATGATCTTTAAAGTATAAATCAACCTACACTAATATTGTATATAATTAAATCTTTTATAACAACCGAGTAAATAAAAACTGACAACACATAGAACGTTTAATGTAATTACAAATTACAAATAATGAAACTTTCAAGAAAAATTTATCAGCAATTATTTGTTGATCCCAATGTACAATTGGTTAAAAAATAAAAGTGACCAATGAAGCTAGATAATACATGAGAAAATTATTAATAAGTCGTGTCTCAATTCAGTAATATGTTGGAAATATACAGTTGTCTCAAAAAAGAATCCAAGAATACTAATTAACAGCCACTTGCAAAATATATACATGGAAATATATATTGATATGAAACAAATGAAAACATGCAGATTAAGACTGATCCCTTTCCTTAACTAACTGTACTCTTAAAAACGCATGAAACTAAATCAGATAGCAAATTATTAATTTTGACTATATAGTTAAGTGGTATTTTTATACAAATACTGTTTCGCTATTCTAATTGTCAAATTTACAAGTACCCAGGAAATGAGAGAATGATTAATGATTTTCCTGTCATCACGCATTATATATTCAACTTGTTAATTATGCTTAAATTTGTGTTTTAAAGTTTTTTACCCCAGAGAAAAATATTACAAGGTTGAACAAACTATAACAGATGAATAGAACTTATTATTATTTAATTATCATGTTTCTAGTTTGCAACTAACTAAAATATAGTTTAAAATATTGTTATATAAAATAAGATTAATAAAGTTAAACATACAATAAAATATGGATATCTATTCCTTATTCCTTTTATACAATAAAACATTATTGCAATGATTCTTGCATTTAATCAGTCAGCCATAATCAATACAGAGCCTGGTACAAATGTGCGCTGGTTTAAGTTATCATATCATATTAACATGATAAGAGGAAACTAACAAGATGAACAGCCAACCAAATCGAATAGATGTCGCAACAATAGCAATGACGAGGCAACATTGAGAATATGGTACCGAAAGATAGAATCAAAAGGTATGGGGTATGAAGAAACACGAGAAATCAAGATTTACAGTAAGATAAGAAGTGAACGTATCTGCGCTATGCCACTAAATATCTTCAATCCTTGATCATGCATGTCTTAACCTACCATTGTGAATCAACTAACATTGTACAAATCAACAGTTTGAATTCCATGCTGGAATTCTACTTGGTTCAATGGTTTACTAAAACGACACACATTGATAGATCCTTTATTTTTAATTATTGTACTTTTTCAGTATAAAATATGCTCCAAATAATATTTTCAGAAAGGAACAAACATATTATCAAATAGTTTCATCTTTAATATCTATAAATAAGATTACCTAGACAAAAAATATAATAGATCTCCACACCTAATAACTGATTCATTAGGAAAAACATTTAAACATTTAGTTGCAGGTTAAAACACTATCTTATTTAAAGAACATTGATTAGTAAATCAATTAGTACCAGTAGCCCTAAACCTAGACGATAAAATTTAGAATAAGATGTTTTGGTTATGTTGTACAGTAAAATAGTAGTATGACTCAGTGATACAAAACATCTAAAGGAAGTTAATGCAAAGGAATAACATTATGATCTAATTATCAGTTAGATCATATCCAGTTAACACAGCATCAACTTAAAAAACCGAGTGAAACCAAATTTATGTCAAATAACTTTTTGTATCCAATACATTCATGATCAAGAACTGGTAACATATGCATATCTCTTAATTTCAAAGGTTATGTCATATCGAAAAATTAATACAAAATATACTACGGTACATCGTTTAGTTGACAGGTGGACATAATATCTGAGCCGTAAGTTAACAAAAACCAAACATGAACTTTTTTTCGAATGGGACGGAATTTCGCCAGTCATCCATCTTTTAGTATTGGTAGCAGTTATAATTTAATATGCCGGCCAGCTGGACTAGTTCACTTCCTATGATCAAACCAGACATTGACGTTACTCTAAAGCGATATTTTATAATTAGATAAAAAGAAATTGATTTCAAAGATTCTAGCATTGTTATTTAAGGCATTTACAGGAAACTGAATTTTATCAGAGTATTCAACAATAAAAAAATAATATCATTCATGCAGTGTTTACCAACTAAGTAAAATTACAGTTGCGAGATCCATTCATGAATATCACATGAGCGAAGTCCTAATACAAGGAATACATTTAATTAAAATGAAGGATAAAAGATATACTTGGTTTCATAATGAAAATTTATGCCCTAATAAAATAAATTTAAAGTAAATACTAAAAGCGACAAGGCATTACTAATGATTAGACTGACCGTAGCAGGAAACAAAACAAAGAAACATGTAAAACGAAACCCGTAAAACGTCTAATCACAAAAAGTTGTATTACTAATGATAGTCGGTTTAATATTCACCATTATTTAAATGAGAAAAAGCTACACTTAATTGATGTTCTACTGATGTCACAATTTATCTTTTTCAAACTATCTTTCCTCATTGATTAGGACAAGTTTATCTAGTATTTGTTTTGCCAAAGTCTATGTCAAAATTATCCAGTGGTATCAGCAGAAAACTGAATTCTATTTAAAATAAGCAATGTCCATAAAAAAATATGTAGTAGGTCGTCAAATTCTGCGATCTATATTATTGTTCAAGGGAATAGGTAATATTAAACCATGTGACTAATTGCTTTAAATATGAAACTAGATTACTACTTAAAACTTTTGACTGCTATTCGCCAGCTGAACAAACAGTTATTACACTACTTACATTCACATTCGTTACTTCTAAACAATACACATATATAGATTAGGCTATGGAATCATGAATGGTTGACTGCATGCTCTCATGTTGCAGTAAATAGTACCGAGAACTTGAATACTAACTTACGACGCAAGAGATGTTTACATTGAATACGGAATGAATATTTCATGATATAATCTATAAATTTTCTGTACACTCCATCTAATGACCGAGTTAGTGTTTCATAAACTTAGCAACTACTACAAGACAGAAAAGTATATCATGTTTGTAATATTGAATTTGGACTAAAGGCGATACGTATGGTAGTATGTCTACCTATAAAGAATGTTTCAAACACAAGGAATGGTCTTCGACCATTGATGACAATTATCGCACAGACACTATATAAATAAGTTTTGCATGAGTAATTATTTAATGTTCATCGAGAATCAACATGTATTTTTTTTTAATTTCGACTGAAATCTATTTTGTTTACGCTTGTGTTTTATTTTCACTTATAAAACAAAGAACATTTCGGTATGAACAATGGATTGAAAAAACCCCAAACAAATTCTGGTCTGACAGATTAAATCAAAGAGAAAGAAAGTAAGGATTAAGTAGGAGATTTTTCATGGTAAATCAATAAGCAATAACAACGAACAAAATTTTATTCAAAAAAAACCAACCTACCTGTGGTGATTGAGTCGACAGGTTTAATTTTGTTTCTGATAACATAGGAGGGATAATTTTATAATTATCTGTTTTCGTAGACATTTGAATATCACGACCGACTAGAATACGGAAGTAATTCGTATTGGCACGTAAAGCAGCCACAGCAACATTATGTTCGACATTGATAAGACTAACACCATTAACCTGGAAAAGAAGAAAAAATTAACTCAAGAGAACAGAAATAATTGAGGTTGTTGTATCTACGTAGAAAGTTTTGCTGATTAGAAGTAAAACAAAGAAAAACAGAACAGTACACTAACCTCTAATAGTTTATCGCCAAGTTTAAGTCCTGAAGTGGCAGCCAATCCAGTAGGATTTAATCGACTAACAAATATACCGTGATCTAAACCACGAAATGGTATTGACCCAACCCCACCAGCCACGCTAAGACCTAAACCAGCATTAGGTTGTCGATGGATGTGTACTTCAACTTGTTCTTGTTGACAACCGACAACAGGTTGTCTATGTAACGATGACGGGGAATGCAAGTCACGGCTTTGTAATGGGATATCAGGGGGACTTAATCCACCAAATGGGGAGGCAAATCGTTTTACAGCTCCGTCAAACTAAATAGAAAAATTAAGAAAGATAAGTTTCAAGTATTATGTCAAACTATGAGAATAAATCCTAAGATACTCAAATGTTCAAGTTTTGTCATTAAGTGTTAGTTCCTTTTTGCAATGATAACCACGAGTGTAATTCTGTTAATTGGTATTTCTGCATGAAACTATCTTCTGGTTAACTGTCGCAACATTTTAATTTGCTAGTCATGTTAGACTCTATAGGCAGTTATTCTATATTGATTCGTCATGGAAAATATTAGATTTTTCTCCACACTTCAACTTACCTTTAGGGTTCACATCGTTGGAGATTATTATTGAAGATCTATGTGTGTATCAGTTGCCACCTTTTCAACTTTACAATAGAATCCGTTAGTGTTAGAATTATTCTAATCACCTTGGGATCAAATGAACCAAATCGCAAATTACAGCAATAATGCTACTGATGTAAAATATATGAAATGGCCCACAAATTCTTTGGTAAGGCCAAGGGTGGTTGAAACCTGCTCTCCATCTCGAAATGCTTTCATCTGATCACGCATATATAGCCTTTGCCAGAGCATTCTTACTCACTCTCTTCTCGTCGCGGAGTTGTAGCTTAGAACCTTGAGAACGAAAAGCGAATGTCCGGTACTTAAACCAGGTTAGTGGGTAGGGAGGATCTACCAAGAGGAGCTGGAAGTCCCTGACTCCAAAGCAGTGGGTTTACATAGGAGGCAGAGTGTTGAAAAAAAGGCAATGTATGAACCTATTGTTGGTCACCAACTACCATGAGATTGGATCTTCCAGTTTCGCTGTCTTGTGGATTAGACCTCTAGGTCAAAGGCCCGAGGAGTGTCCTCTCTTAGAAAACCCCTTTCTTTGGTTTCAACAACCGGACAGTATCCCACTTCACATAAATTGAATGATAACTACCTCATGAGGTGCATATGCATTTTGATTCCCCTTTGTACCAATTTTATGTGTTTCTATTCATCAACTGATAACTTAATCGTCAGCTATCCTTGAATATTGTTACAGTAAGTAAAAAACGAAATCCGTTAAAATCAGTTCTTAAGTAATGTAATGAATAATTATCGATTAAACCCATTTAGTTTCATAAGAATTGACTGACATTCACTTTTAAATTTAATGTCATTTTTATTATGCGTTTTCAGTGTTAAACAAATAACTTTCTTGTAGTACAACAGTTAGTGACTGACGATTTAGTTGTTTCCTGATCATTACTTTTCTACATCTAATCACTAATGTTGTTTGATGTAAATCTTTAAATTAAGAGATCTAGCGGAAAATGTAACATTCACAGTTACACAATAATAACCTGCAGACAGTTGGCTAGATGTTGGGCGTGAATTTTTATTCAACTAAAGAGAATATTTACTATATTTTGGCTATAAACCTTACAGTTGTTAACCAATACTCTCTCTTTATGAACATATATGAAGTAATCGCTGAGACGATAATTTATGAAAGACATTTGAACGATGCTAACGTCACCTTGAGACAACTCGCCTACTTTCAAGGGTCAAAGGAGGGCTATAAATTAGGATTAGGATTTAGAGTTAGAATTTAGGGATAGGAATTAAAGTAATAGTTTTCATCACAAACTGACATATGCTTTAATGCCCAAATGATATTTAACTATATAGATAAATGGATTCACAGCCAAAATCCAAGACTTACTATCTTTAATTTCATTGGTTCACCCATAAATTATAGTCTCGCCAAGTAATCGAAACTCAACTACTATTTACTTTGTAACACACAAAATCAAAATGACTGTCCTAGTAAAACAACTATGTAAGAAGTTCAATTAGTTTACGAAAATAACGAAATTCAAAACATATCGAATATATATTCACTTAAAAGGCTACCAAAAGTAGTATATACATGTGACTTATTGGAATTTCAGTTGAAAAATAACAAACAACATTTCTGTGACGCATTATATGCATACATTTGTAAGAAAAACAAAAGCATAAAATCAATATTTAGAAAAATCAATGTGGAATTAGTATCAACCTTTCTTATATTAGCCAGGATAACAAAAAGCAAACAAATGTAATAATGACAATGACTTACATCAGTTGAATTTGAATCAGGATTCGGTGAAACGGATGCTCGATACTTTTCTAATATTTTCAATACTGCCTCTTCACTATCCACTTCACGATTAAAAACGAACATAAAGATACATACATTAGTATGAGGACGAGGGATGTAGGAGAGAGAAGTAAATAAACACAAAAATGAACTGAAGAATCATGTAATATTTAATTGGGATTGTTTAATGAAGTAGAATTACTGATTATAATATTCACTGTCATACATTTATTCAACTACATCCTTTTTCTCTACATTGAAATATCAATATACGCATAAATACAAAAAAAATATGTGAGTATAAATAATATTTTTCACATTGTATTTTTTAAGGAATAGGTTAATAAAACTGATAATTAAAAAAAAGACGTATTTTTACAATGATTATTTATTTATGAATGAACTCTAGCGAATAAAACAATTTCCAAGTAAAAATTAGTTTTAGCCGAAGTATACTTGAACCATTTCAATTCAGTCACACACGTACTGTTGAGTGTTTTCGCGTATATGTATGGAGCGATAGCATACTAACTCTTTAGTAGTTGCTTGTATAAATCACTAAAATCAGTTTTAAAGAAACTGATCACTTTCTTGTAAACTAATATTTTGATCCAACAAACTAATAAAATAAAGTGCACACAAAGGTACCTAAAGAACTGCTCATTCCTTGAGGAGTAACTAAAAGGGTAATCTTGATGATAGGTGTAAAGTACTGATTAAATGTGTGAAAGCATTTGTTGTGATTGAATACCATTACAGACAAAGTTAAAGTAGTTGCAATTCATCGCTAATTACTGTTTGCTTAGGTGTCCATTAACGATGAGGTAGAAAAGAGATCAAAGGGAATCAAACGAAGAAATGAGACCAGTAGATAGGTTTCAATAACTGTGTGGCTGTGAAATGAATTCACATATAAAATTCACAGAACAGCACCTTATATCTTAATAAACAACACAAAACATTCTTAACCAGGTCCTGAATTAGTACAATTTAATGTAACTTATTAAGTCTACAAGCTGTGAGCATTAATATGTTCATACACAGTCAAAAAATAACCTTCTACTAAAAAAAGTCGAGACAAAAAAGCATTACCTCTGCATAATGAGAGTTATATGATTCATTATAACAACTTAATGTAATTCATTACATCATCATCAAACAATCTCAATTCATTCCTTGTATTTATTTAAGTAAATTGGAATTGATATTCAATAGAAAGTAAAATTTATAATTACACTTACTCCCATCAGCTGTTTTTGACTGAATTCGAGCACGTTTTGTATAATGTGGTGTATCACGTCGAATAAGTTTTTGATTTGATTTCTCTTCATTATCTTCTACATCATCTGTGAATCCAACTCGTCTAGAAATAACGTAAATCTCTTCCTACATTATGTAAAATAGTGAATATCAGTAACAATAAAAAACATCGTCAATTTTTACTACTGCTCCATTAAAATAGATCAGTGTAATACAGTTTAAAAAATTGACTACTTAATAGATTGTTCGAAATGTATTGTGCGAATATATCACATAATTCGGATAAACTTCATCTTCTCATTGCACTATCGAAATTTATCAAAGGGAATGATTGTTTCAAAGATAAAGAATGTTATTAGATTACTGAGTCAAAGCTGTACTGAATTGTCAAGAACAGTGGGCAAATTGCTTTCTATATGAATGAAATGGATACCTGTGGAGTAAAAAATCTATTATATTGAAATTAACAAATAATTACGGTCAGTCGGAAACAACGTGGAACTTCGTACGTACGTACATCAGTTCGAGTTGCCATACCATATTAGCACAGAGATTCAGTTATCGTCTTAAATCCCGTAGTGACAGAGTAGTGAAAGTATAAGTAGTGACAGGAAACATTAAGGTTTGATGATGTTATTTAAGGAGTATAGTCCAGTGGAATAGATTTGGAAAGAAAATAAAGGACATGGAGAATTCAGAAGATAAGAGTTTGAGAGAACACAAAGAGTGGATGCACCTGCGCCATTGAGAACGATTTTGTGCCATGTCATTCAAGGTCTCTAACCATCGGTTGCTATCATCTCGCGGTCCCCAACCAGGTAGTCTACACCTACCAACATGGCTCAGTCCACTTGTCAGTGATTTCATGGATTTGTGCCATGTTTTGGTCTGGCCGCCCCTAGCTTTCTTCCAACCTACTCCTACACCATAAAACATAGCACGTCGGGGCAGTCGGTGGTCGGGCATGCGCAGCACATGTCCCAGCCATCTCAACTGATTAAGTTTCACTACTTCCTCAATTGATTTGCCATCCCTAACTAGTACCCGTTTCCTAACAACTGAGTTGCTTACTCGGTGGTCCCAGGATATACAAGCGATGTTTTGAAGATACCTATGGTCAAATACTAGTAACCTACGAATATCCTTTACTCTTACCGGCCATGTTTCACTACTATAAAGTAGGACGGAACGAATTGCTGCACAGTAAACTCGTCCTTTGGTTACTAGACGGATATCTCGCCTACGCCACAAATGACGCAAGTTGGCAAAACTTAGTCGAGCCTTCTGTATCCGTGCTGAGATTTCGTCACACACCAGACCACAAGGGCTGATGAGACTTCCAAGATAAGTGCAGCGGTCAACACGCTCAACAACTTCACTCCCTATCACTAGTTCGGGTGCCGATGCAACCCAATCCTGAAGCAACATTTTGCATTTCGAGGAAGAGAATCGCATCCCGAACGTGGAATGAGTTTCTGAGCATCTATCAGGGCAGTAGACGCTGCTGAGATCCAGTGTTTCTCCATAACCTTATGGTTTACTGTACTTGCAGACATCACTGATGTTTCTACAGCTTTTCGGATGTCATTCCACGCTGCCTCGGGGTGGGCATCACTTACATAGCTGCCTAACTTTTTCTAGTTGTTCCTGAAATATACTCTTAGCTTGACTATCATTAAGTAGGATCCTAAGGGTTTTCCTTGCACCATCTTTCCTACGTCCAGTAAGACGTAAACAAATACGCGCTCGCACTAGAGCATGATCTGAGTCTAAGCATGTGCTCCAGAATGAGCGACAGTCTTCTATCGAGCCCCTCCATCGGTGGCTGATAGCGATGTGATCTATTTGGGTCCAGCGTTGAGACGAATTAGGGGGTCGCCATGTTAAAAGATGTTTTTCCTCATGCTTAAAGTTAGTATTTGCAAAAAACAGGTGGTTATCTGAGTATAGCTGCAACAGACGGTCACCATTATCTGTTCTTTGAGCCGCGACATCATAAGATCCACCCAGGTGTCTTTCCTTTTCGCTTAGTTTACCTACTTGAGCATTAAAGTCACCAGCCACTATTACTACATCTGAACGCCTAGCTTTTCGGAGAAGGTCGGAAAGCTTTCTGTAAAACTCATCTTTTACATCATCGGAGCTGCAGTCAGTGGGAGAGTAGGCAGAGACGACGAAGGGGCAACGACGAGTGTCCCTATCTTTTCGAGTTCTTACTGTTCCGTTTAGTCGGACAGCACACAAACGACTGTCTACTGGGATCCAGTCTAAGAGAGCTAGTTCTGCCCTAGGACTCAATGCTATACCTACGCCAGCGAGGCCACGGGAAGCAGCATCAGGGCTCCCAGATACACGGAGCGTAAATCGAGTTGCTTTGTTACTTTGACATGGTGCGGTCAAATGAATGACACTACTAGGATCCTGTATGCGCGTTTCGGAGACGCAGCACACATCGATGGAGTGAGATTCTAAAGTCTTAGCTAAGGAAGCCTGTTGTCCTATTTGGCACAGTGTTCGGACGTTGAAAGCTTCTATGTGTAGTTTACAGCATGGTTACAGGAGACCAGGAATAACATTCTGCGTACTCGAATCATTTGCACTGGTGGGGCGAGGTGATAAAGAGACGTAAGAAGGGTTAGTCGTGAAGATAAGAGAGTTATTAGGAGGTGTAGGAAGGATTTGAATGTGACCAACGTGGTCTCATGTGCTGTTACAGGCTCTTTAGAAAGATTGAATACGAAAGTTCATAAAAATTTAGTTAGTATTAAAACTTGAAAGTTAGCGCTATAAAGAAATGACATTGGATGAAGGAGCGTCTGAAAACTAGAGCATGGAAACAACTATTTTATTTTAGCTTGAAGCTTAGTAGTGCACAACATTCCTACAACTGCGGTTTATAATGAAAACTAAAATCAAACTATACGAAATCTCCACAAACCATCCAAACAAAATAATTTCATATTGTTAAGTATCATATAGCTTTTAACATTTTATTTACAACACTTACAGAACATAAATCTGTTTTGACAGTCAAGTCTAATTAATATCCGATGAAATTATAATTTGACAGACTGATGAAAGACTGTAATGTTAACAAACGACAATGAAATGATTGGTTTCGAGAAGAGTTGTGAATTAGATTTTCAATAACTAAATAAACAGATTCAAATCTTAATTTGATATTACAACTATTAATTAACAAACTAAATGAACAACAATTACGTCAATCATTGTTTTGTTACATCTATGAATCTGGTGGCTGAAAACAAATTACGGACAGAAAAATAACAGAGAACCATTCCAAAAGAAACTTAAAAAGTAGTTTGAATAAACGAAGATTAAAATTTTAGAATGTTGATTGGTTACGGGTATATGTTTCACTTCATTAGCAAAACTAGTGAATACATATATATCAATATGTTTAAACTAAGTTTTATTCTGTGAAAAATAGGGCCGAATTTTAAATCATAAATCAAATGTAACATTTTTTCATGCGGTTATCATGAAGCATTGAAGTAAGAAAGCATCCAAACAACAGAAGAAAAAAGTTATGCCACGACAATCGATAATAAGAATGCTAGAATGATTGAGGTAATTTTTTTATACAATCAATTCGTTATTTTCAATTAAATATCGGAAGATAAAATTACTCACTGGCCAACTAAATAATTACATGTTTTAGAGAATTAAAACTACCATATATCGACATACAAAATATCCACTCAAAGCCGAATGACTTAGAACAAAGTAATTAATGGTCTTATATTAAGTGCGGCTCATCATTACAAGCACTTGTATTTAAACGCATATTAATAGTAATATGATAACCTAATGTGTTCTGTTATTGCTAGATATTAGTTCAGTTTAAATGTGAGTAGTGTAGCAGTTTGAAATCAGTCAACTTAAAGTAATATTATAAATTATAACCGATTAAATATTAAATCACATGTACATGTAAAAGCAACAATGAGTCACGTCTGAACTTGAATACATGTCTTTTTTTCTTTCTTTCTTAAAATAACAACAATAAATTTACAGAACTAATTATAATACAGTGTTGGATAAATAATGACTGATGTGGACAAATGTTTATTGATATAAGTAAAATGAGGTCATTTGCATAAAATGTTTGTCACTTACTTGTAGTAAATTCATAAACCATACGTCGTAACACTGTTTGCGTATGGTAGTTTAAAAACGATTTCAAGTTAACACAAATCTATAAGTATAAGTTTTTATTTAAATTTTGTTTTTCGAAAATATGTATAACATTTTTATTCGTTAGCTAATAGTTTGAACAGCAGCTTTGAAACTTACTACTTGCAGCTAAAGTTATCGCAAGATAAAGAAAGAATGCAAAAACATCAAGGAGGTTGATTTAGTACCATATCAACCAAAATATTTATCTACAGATTACAGATATAAGACAGGCCTCAATCAAGAAGTTTTAACTTCCTCCACAAGGCTCACATGAAAAGTTCATGTTTTCGGGATGGTTGATGGAATATCATTTTTGCTAACTCTCACTAAATTATTTTCAACCTAATTATATGACAAGGATTACGTGACAAGGTTATTGGAGGCTAAACATGTGTAACACATCTCTAAACTATTTTGGTCAACTACCCACCTCATCGGTAGGTTCACTACGTTCACCAGATTCGCTGTTTACAATGTCTGCAGTATCCACTTATTAGTCCAACCATACACGAACAAATGAGTAGAAATAAACAATAAGGAATATCAACCTTAATATCAACTACGATTTAAAAAGTCTAAAAATATTTCTTATATATAAAGCTTAATCCAACTGGTTAAGAAAGATGGAAATTTCATAACACCGCTCATAGATGCAACTGATTCTAGTTTTCAGCATGAAGGTTATGGGAATTATAGAATTTTAGGAGATTACGAACTGATGTAAGTTAGACAACCATTAAGAATCTGGAAGCACTAGACAGCTTTCTCACACCCGTATGGGACTCCTTAGAGTTTAAGTGTTCGCGCGAGACCGAACGCCCCGGGGTTCGAGTCTCGGGTGCGGAATTGTGGGTGTGCACTGTGCATTGTCCTTCATTTTGACTATTCAGTTCGTGTCATGTAACTACAAAGTTGTGATGTCGTTTAGAGTTGCTTAATAACAATGAAGGCATCAATACAAATTTGTATAAATGCTATGTTACTCATGTCGGTTTTCTTTTTTCTAAAAAACAGACTATAATTATATCGGAAATTCTATCCCACATCATGGTGCTCAACTGATGATCAGTGAAAATGATCAAATTATCCCTGATAATAAGCTTTCTTTAATCTATATATTCAACTGAATGTTATTATTATTAGTGGTAGTAGTAGTACCACTACTGCGACCACTATGAGCATTGGTTATACTTATGTATCAATTATTTTTCACTGAATACATTATTTCAATTCAGTGGTCGGCTAAGCCGATACAAACTGGTTAGAGAGTGGTAGACGGAAAGACAGATATACATTATCCTATTCTAAGTTTAGAGTTAGGGTAAATGAAAATATATATGACAGTAAATATCATGTGTACCTTGTGACAAATAACAATAATTAATTGAAAAACAATATACATTGCAATTGTTGTCGTTATACACACTCTGACATATTTACTGAGAAAACATTAAAATTAATGTAACAGTGTAAAGCGTACAATTTTTTGTTAACACTTGGAATAGTTTTAAATTATTGGAGGAAAAAAGTTTTTCTAATAATATTAAAAATAGCAATATGTAACATATGCACTAAGTAATTAATGGTTGATATACATAAGGTGTATTTGTAAACATGAATTCAGTACCAAACTTAATCGACAACAACAAAAATATTTAAGAGAAGGACAAATTAAGTTAACCAGAAAAGGTATACAAAAGGAAAATTTTTAAAAAAAAATTCGGAAATATTATACATGAAAAGTGTTTTGTAGGTTTTACTGAAACACAATCAACACATTTGAATCTACTAGTAATGAAAAAATCTCTACCACTACTGTGATTGGTGGGTTTAGGTTTAGATACAGTACTACCTAGTGAATTCAAATGTATTCGTATGGGTGAAAATAAAAAAAACAAATAGGTATCTTGCTTATTGATTTTTCGAGGCATAAATGTAATTTGAGTTTTTTTAAAAGTAATTCTATTATAAATGATAAAGCTTAAACAATACGTAAATTTTTTAATCGTACCAAATGTTTAGAAAAAATTGAACAAACATTTATAATAAATCAACACTTACACCTCCACTACTATAGGCGTCCTCATCAGGATTCCCTTGTACATCCAAAGTATCGGGGAACTTTTTCACTGGAGATCCACGATTGGAATGAACATCTGAAGTATCTTCTGCGGAGGCCATCCTAATTACGGTATCGCTAGAAATTTTAGGTTTACTTATTTCTGTAGATTTTGACGCTGGGTGTTCATTGAAATAATTAGAAGGTTGAGGAGGTTTATTAGCAAACATTTCTGTAACATTTTGAGATTTATTGCGTGGTCTAGATGAAGGAAATATTATCGATGAGCAAAGGAAAGTTATAAAAATAAAAATGGATATAAGCAGGAAGTATGTAGTACGTCAAACAATGAATTGACACATACAAGGGCAGAGTATTTAATCTTAAGTTATAAATATTTGACTGTCTAAACACTGCTTAAATGAAGAGCTTAGAAAATGACTTTACTATGTCGAACGATCGAAAGGTCTGTCACAGTTTATAGGCTAAAAATGTGGAGAAGTGTGATACGAGTGAACATTAAAATTAAAAAAAGATTTGATAACTTCTGATAGTATTGTTTTTCTTGCATACTTTTTAATGTTGATAAGGATTTACTCGAAATAAATACTTTAGTCACAACTTTTCAACTGTGAATTGCTATTTTATCCACATTTTATTCTTTAACGACGGATTAAGCCGAGTACGTAGGTGTAGACAATCTGGCTGGGGTTTGCACAAATTCCGTAACCAATAGTTGGAAATTGGGTGATATGGCTCAAAATTGTTTGGAATAGTGTACTTGGATTTACTATTGGCCTTACCGTAGTTCTTAAGTTTAAAATTATCATACAAGGAGACATATATGCTTGATCTTCAACAGAAAGACCTACACATTACATAAGCGTAAACTCCTGTTTTTGCTTTGCTCTCTTCTATACCACACTAAATCCTTAAGAAAAACCCTGGTTTTAAAACTGGCAGTTTGAACTACTACCATAGATAAGAAATATTTGTAAGAAAAATTGACAACACTGTTGTAGTTAATACATCAAATGGGATGAATAAAAAATAATGGTAACTAACTTGGCAGTCGGTTCGGTGGAGATAAGATTATCGTTAGTCACCACAGAACTCCCATCATTCGATTTTATTAGATGATTTGGGTAAATGGAAGAGTTAAAATTAGAATCAATAGGTTTTGAAGATTTCCAATCATGATTTAATGATTCCGACAGTGAGATTGGAGCACTTCCATCATTTAGAGATTCTGATGAACTAGCAGAACTAGTGCCATCAGAAAATGTATTTGAAATTAAATTAGTCTTAAACATGAAAATAAAGGGAGAAAATATTGGATTAAGATATGGGACAATGATAAAAAACCGTTCATAAATGTGACTTACTAACTAAGTACGAGAGTTCGTGTAAGCACAATTTTATGGTAATCAGTAAAAATGAAATGACTAGTTCAATGTTTAGAAGTATGAGGTCAAAGAAAAGCAGTCAGCTGTTTTTTTCGACATCAACTAAAAAATGGTGAAGCTAACAATTGTTAATGGATTCCTATTTTAGGAATATTACACAATGATAAGAAATGTAAACATGAGTTCTTGTTCGAGATCACTTATGTATAACCAGATACACAGATACTGATCTGACCAACTTAACATATGATTCAAATGATTATCAACTAATTAATATGGCTGTGAAGTAACAAAGAATGTAAGAAAAATACTATATAATCTATCGAAGCCTTGAAAATCCGAAAACACTGGTGTTATTCAGTAAATAAGAGGGACCATAAAGCTTTTTAAAAAATCAGATTAGATAGAAGAATAAGATTAAAATGGTAAATAATCATTTTCAAGAATCACACTACCTCTGATATTATCTGTAGTGTGCAACTAGTCAAGTTATTAAAAAAACTTGTAATAAATCAAGATGTAGACATAACTAGAGATAACTTATTTCTTAAGTATGCTGTGGGTTCTGATAACACGATTTGCATTCTTTTTTAGTACATCACATCTTAAAGAATATAATGATTTATTCCATTCACCGAGTACACGTTTATGTGTTTGGTTTAGAGTCACACTTTAAGTGTGACGTTTAGTAATACTATCACGTTTCCCAAACTAAATTAGGTAGAGCACGACTCGGACCTATGAATGAATTGTTGAAAGTCAAATGTCGAGACAAATAAGTCATCGTCTCATAAAGAATTAAGAATCAAGTTAGTCGACTACATTCTCTTATTCTGTTGCTAAAACAAAAATCTTCTAGTTTTAATTATGAACTAAGAAAAACAATCAAAACAGGTAAGACCTTTACAATCATCCCATTGTATATCATTTAATCTTACAAAATACACTATTGTATATGATGTTAACTGTTAAGATATATTATACTACTGTTCACCATCTAAATATTCAATAAGTGAATTTGTGATTATCTTATTTTACACCTGTTTTTTGATAGTATGCTAACGAATGTAGAAACAGATAGCGAATAGGAGAGTGCATATACATAAAAATTAGAGGTAAACACAAACTCTAGTTTCAAAACCGTTTATGCAAATAAATCATTGATTTTAGGATCATGTATGAAGTAAATGGTTAGTGTAACATGCATATCACATGTTTCAAGTTCAAAATACCTTCAGAGATAGCAAAAACATGGTATAGTCAATGAATACTTGCATATATTACAAAAACAAAAACAGAGTCAGTTTGATATCATTCACTTGATATCTTATTTAATTGTATAATCATAGTGAACAGATTCTTTCTATCTACTAATGCTGAACGATAAAAATGTTCTGACTGTAATGAAAGTGTTCAGTAATGATGATAAAATTCTTATACTACATTTAGCATTTAATTACGGTCATTGGATAATCATGAGCAAACACTGAGTTCAACTACTCAAGATTAGAATAAGACTTCAAGTCGATAAAGAAATAATAAATGTTTCAAATATCAACAAGGTTATCCTTTGCAATTATACGATATTAACACTGGCCATACTATTAAGAAGTGAACTGGCTAGAAACAATGTAGACAGAAAGTAAAAGAATTTGCCAATTGTCATTATTTATTGTAGTCCGATTTATTTGAAGTTTATGTCAACAATACGGTGACAGATTTTTAGATCTTATAAAAATCCTAATATTTTATTGGTATAAATGTTTGAAAACACTAGGTGATTCTGTATCAAGCTGGGATTCAGCAACAATTGATATCTACATGACAGTGAAATTGAATAAAAAGTCATATGGATTCATTAAGAATAAATTCTACTAATTTACATATGCTTGATAGTGAGGTTCTAATTGATACTTCGTCCTCAACAGCATGAAATGAGAAATATTTTCGGATTTTTATTCACTAAATTTTATTATTCCAATGAAATATACTCATTTAATTTAGAATGAATTAGATGTAACATATTTTCCAGATGGAGATGTATTCATTGAAGTAGATACTTGAATCAAATAAAATCGAGGATTATTTTAATGATATAATAACAGTGAGAAGAAATAAAGTAGTAAAAACTATCCAAAAATATTACATATTTTAATATTATTTATGCCATTTTCAAAACTAACTGAAAATAACATACAATAGTAGGCAAAATTAACTAATCTACATACATGAAGAACACTTTTTGTATGACGAACAATTTCTTTTACGGTAACCTGTGCTCTCCTAAAGAACTGTATAGAAATCTAAATAATTAACAAAAGGAACTTACACTTCTGCATTGACTGGAATCATCTTTACCACTAATGAGATGATTATCAGTAGCTTTTTTACCGGAACGGGGATGACGTGTTTTTGGAAAACCTTTGGAACCTGATTTATCCTGTTGATAATAATAATAATAAATGGAGCAATAAAAATATTAACTAAACCGTGAACAAAGAGAAAAATTTTCCCTACAGTAGGTTTGGATTGGTGCTTAGGATTTAGATATGGATGTAACTGAACAATATTACCATAAATACAAGGTTTGACGTTGAGTAAACTAAAGCGACATAATTATATCATTACTGAAGATGCAGTTTTTGTGACACGGTAAGAAAAACAGTAATACAAAATTGTTTGAAGTTGAACTGTTGTTTTGTAAAAAAATTTTCGTTTTTAAAAACTTATGGATTCTGCTATTAGTGAAAATACAGAGTTATAACAATATTCAGAAAGATTTGCACATTTAAAATGTGTATTATTGAACTAATAAGAAAGGTAGTGAGGATAAATAGAATATATTCGTAGATGAACATGACTGGAAACAACAGTGATATATAGAAGGAAACTATAATACCATGTTATATCTGGGAAGATAACTACTTTCACGTTATATTTTATCTACACGGACTAGTAGAGAGCTCTAGGTATAATGTTTACTCAATCCAACAAACCTGAATATACCTATACTTGCCAACTTGTATGTAGATAAATACAGTCATTCTTCAACTCAATCGAAGCTTTAAAGAAGGAAAACAGGCATTTATCAAGCATACATCAACTGGTTTAATTGAACTGAGATCTAGTTATCAGCTGATAATTGTAAAACGAATTAATGAACACTCCGAAGTAAATTGACTTGTTCAAATTCTTTCGCATACTAGTAGCGGTTATCAGTAGACGTTTGTCTTGAAGCAATTCAATACTTCTCTCAAAATTCAAAGCCACTTCAATACATATTGAGTAAGCATCAAGAGAAAAGAATATGTCTATGGTTTATTGTTTTCCGAGACAAAAAAGCTACTTATCGTTATGAATAACGGAGTGTAAAGTTATGATTAACAAGCTATGTAAATATAATGCTTTACGTAATCATAACAACACAAGCACAGATGTAGAACAGAAAAATGAGTACACAAACATGTATACACAAAGAGAAGATACACAAAATATATTTATCACGAAATAATGAAAGTAATTCAAGAGAAAATCATATAATACATGAAAGAATAGAATTATTGATGAAAGACAATATTAATATATTACCATCTCATCAGGCTTAACTGAACCAGAGAAATGAACACGAGTTGATGCAGATGTTTGCATAGATAGAGATGAATGTGCAGATGAGGTAGAAAGATCATTCATATGATTCGGTAATGTATAGGATGAATCTAAATTACCATTTACATTTGACGGTGAATTAATAGGTGAATTTGAATATGGTAAATTTTTTGTAGGATTAGTTGTAGAATTAATTGAATGATGGTTGTTTAATGAATTAGGATCACTTGTTATTGCTGAATTATCATTCAGTGTTGATGATGGTGAAGTCGATGGTTTAGTCGATTCATGTTTCGACGGTGAAATACTTCGATTTTTTGAAAGATCTGATTGAGGAATTGATATATGCATATCTGCAGGCTCATAGGTATGATTTATTTCAGCACTGATATTGTCAAGTAAATCATGGTTTGTTTTAATGTTAGCGTTTAATGACGCAGAAAAGCTGTCTAATTCAGATGGTGACATAGTTGGATCTATAAGAGAACACAAAAGAAAACCGAGGAAAAATGGAAATTGAAATATTTACGAAAAAACTCGAATATTTGGTGATATAAATGACTGGAATGTCATAACACAAAATTAATGAATACAAAAATTTAGAAATTATAGTACGCAATCACCTCAGAACAACAGCTAACAATAAAGATGGGGTTGTTAAACGTTTAAGATTTTGTGAACATTAAGAATAGCTTTCTAGCATTTTACTCAACACTGATTTAAGGTGGTGATGGTGTAAGAGACCTTATCCTAGTGTTCAAAAATCAGACAAAATGGAACAAAACTGGATGTACTTCCTTGAGTACGGTCGATTTCAAGCTACACTTCTAAATGCTTATAACCACATTTTAAAGTGGTATATGAAATTCAACCAGGAAATACGTGTCTACTTTCAATATTCAAACCACTGGTGACATATCTTGTATTTAGTCTTTCTCAGTTTACCGTATACTAGGTAATAAGTCAGTTATTCATATGTAGTATTTGTTTTTAATATCAGCTTATCATATTAGAAGATATTCTCAGACGACTGAGAAACATCACGACTAAATGGTTTATGTCTAGAAACTCAATTTTTTCACCGAGTCCTGAACAGCTGGAAATCTTTACATGAATACGCAGCATTAGTGATATATTTAAAGAGATTGGATTTACGCAGTACAACTAATCGCGAAGATCATGATAGGTCATCTAACTTTTTGTCAATCATTATTACTAAGGATTAAAGTCAGAAGATAGCTTAAATTAAAATTTAATTAATTTCATCAAACATACATTAGATTTTTAGATTTTATATTGATAAATCGTTACATTTTCGGTAAACTGTACCATTATGTTAAACCCTATTGCTATTACTACGGCTAAATATGAAGAAATAATTATTGATTCCCATTATTACCCATAGCAGAGAGTACGATCGATCTAGCATACTTCATCTTAGAAAAGAAATCCCCAAAATTGAGCAAAAACAATTTGGAATGGATAAAGCGAAATATTTTAAATAATGATATATCGTTAAAGTGTTATTTATGAACGATAAAAATACTTTTAATTTGTAAAACACGCAGATTATAAAGAGTGCGATGAAAAACATCATTTGGACCATAATGTTACCTAATACAAGAACCATATTGGTAAAGATATTTCACTATGAGTATCTTATGAATTAAAATCAAGACTAAAAGTAGGTAGAAAGACAGTTTGACATGTATTGCAGTTTTACAGCTGTTAAGATTGTAGTTGAAGAATGAGCAACTAAAACAAAATTACCCACTAATATTCAGGATTGTGGAAAGTAGTAAACAGATGTAATGATATACTTGCCTTCAAAGATGGAAAATAAATGGATCCATAACCTACACTACCTTAAATAACACACTGCTGGACTTCAGCATTACATACCCTGTGTTATCGAAAGTAAAATCAAGTAAGAACAATAAAATGATCTAGTTTACATTCACAAATCCGAAAACACCAGAAAAAATTAGTCTCATTAATAATGTTTAACGTGACTGGGAAAATGAACAGTTAAATTAGCCAATCTTCTCGAGTTATCTCATGTAATGAATGCAAACCACAAAATCGAAAAAACACCAGCATACATTAATATAGTAACAAGAAAATATGCAAGAGTTGCGTTTAATAAGGCATACCAGAGCCCTATTTCCCTTACAAGCTTTACATCTAGCAATGGATCACAAGAATAACAATGCTTTTTTACTTGTCACAACGTAAGACCGTAAACAAGATGTTACTCACTAAATCTATTATCAATTGTAAGGCGGTTGTAGGTAGTCTATAGGAAACACTGGATCTAGATTTCATACAAATCCCCAGTTACTAACACGGAGTATTTAGAATCAATCGTGGGGGACTGATGCTCTGCAGGATTTGAATTCGTATCATACAGTGAAATAATCTGAAATACTACTACTGAGCTACTCGGATAGTGACTGATCTCTTGGAGAACTGAGATATTTACAACTGACCTGTTAATGGCGGCGTAACCAAATGTAAATTACCATTAATTTTTTAGTCTTACTGTTGATTCAAACATTTTCTAAGATGTGTAACAAATTTCTTTCTTTATCCTACAATCCCAAACACAACACATACATACATTCAGTAATCCTTCTAACAAACTAAAATAACCACCAATTTTGTCATCCTCGAATTCATACGCTTAAAAATAATTTCTATTAACGGTAAGTCCTAAAATGAGATTATATATATAGGTAAATGTATATGTCTTACATTTTCGAAGTATCTAGAAGCATTAATTGATTGCGCAACTCGAAAATATCTAAAAAATTAATTACCAAAAGTCATCTAGTAACCAAACAAACTGTCCCTACTATAATCTATAGCTTTTGAATAAAATATTAGCGGTATGCAAGTGAGAACCCATTATTTTCTTCGAAGAAATTGATTATGCCTATTTCGAAATATAACTCTTTGTACTTAATATGCATATACAAACAGGATTAGCACCTCATAACCAATATTTATTTATTTTATTTATTTATTTGAACATATAAATATTGGTACAAGGGGGCACCAAATATATATGAGCCACACAAAACAGTGAGAATTTAAAGAGAAGGGGAGAAAAGTAAGGAGCGTAGGGAATTATAAAAAAAGAGAACAATAACGACCAGATTAGTGTAAGGTAGTGTAATAGTAATAATAATGGAGGAAACGAACAGGTACAATCAGAAGAAATCTTTCAGTTAAGGAAGAAGCAACCGCTTTTTACGAAGAAAGTAAAAGAAGGCTACAGCAGGATAGCCACTGGCTTCTATTCTGAGCCATATCTGATAACGTTTCTAGCCACTGTGTTGCACCATCTCTCGGACCCCAGCCAGAGAGTCGTGAATGACCAACACAAGCCAGCCCTTGGCAGCTTTCTTTCATACCACGACACCATGTCATACACTGAACATCTCCCCGCTTCTCCCAACCAGTCCCAGAGTCGGCAAATAATGCACGACGTGGAATTCTCTAGGACGACATTCGAAGCCCCGAATGCCCTGGTACGGCCGAGAGTGGGGTGGGTTTGCCCTCCCTCTCGAAATACTCTCACATGGCCACGCGTATACAGCCTCTGCCAGGGAAGTCCTACTCACTGCCTTCTCGTGGCGGGGGTGTTGTTTACGAAAATGAGAGGACGAAAAGTGAATGTTCGGCGCTTTAACCGGATCCCAAATCAATGGTGCACATGGGCTCCAGTATCCTGCGGGAACAAATGGCGAAAGAACCAATTTCTTGGTCACCGGCTACTATGGGACTGCATCTCCTTACGATGCTCCACTGCCTTGTGAGTTAGACCTTTAGGTCGAAGGCGCGAGGTGTGGCCCCCTAAGAAAACCACCTGCTTCGGTCTGGGCACCCGAGCAGTATCTCAGCCCACACACAAAAACATGATGAACTGTTTACTTATGGAATATATTCTTCTCGCTTTGATTAACAATCAAATGACTCGCATTATTATTGATTACTATTATTATTATCATTATTATTATTATTATTATTATTATTATTATTATTATTGTTATTATTATTATTATTATATTCCTACTCTGTATATCCTTATTTTTCGGCTTCTACAGCAGCTCGCCTATTGTGGACATTCGGCTCTATCTAAACGTTCCCGTGTCACTGCCTGGTTGAAAATTGTATGCTACCACCGAATACGAGTACTGAAGCAGTTTTTCTGAAACCACGTACACCATTCAAACTGGCTGACTTCAACGTTTTGACACTTATGCAGGTCGGACAACAGATAGGACTGGCTATGTCTTTGGAAATTCTTAATATTGACGTTTGTTGTCTATCCAAGACCCGTATTCAAGACTCTGGTGAGGTACTACAAGTTCGCACTCCATCTGTCGCTTCAAAAAGCTTGTTCTACGTGCGTTTATCCGGGGACCCTGTGGCATCTTAGTCTGGTCTTGCTGGCGTTGGTGTCACACTAAGCGCTAGAGCTGAGGCAGCACTAATCGACTGGATCCCCATTAACAGTCGGTTATGTGCTGTTAGATTAGAAAGTTCCATCAAAGTGAGAAGAAATCGGCGTGAGAAACGATGTCTTTTCGTCATCTCCGCCTATGCCCCGACAGATTGCAGCCCGGATGCAATCAAAGATGAGTTCTACCACCAATTATCTGTCTTTCAGAAAGTGCGTTCGACAGATATTGTAGTACTAGCCGGAGACTTAAATGCTCAGGTCGAGAGTCTAGGCACAGAAGAGAGTCGTTTCAGTGGCCGACGGGGACTTTTTGGTCGCAGGACAGATAACGGGGACCGTCTACTGCAACTGCGCACAGACCACAACCTGTTTCTGGCTAGCACTAACTTTCGTCACAGTAATCGCCGATGTGCCAACTGGCGTCCTCCTTCTGCATTTCAAGCCTGTACTCAGGTTGATCACATCGCGATCAGCTACCGCTGGCGTGGTTGTGCACAAGACTGCCGCTCCTTTCGGAGTACCTATCTGGAATCTGATCATGCCCTGGTCTGCGCCAATCTCACCTTACTTTTCAGTGGCCAATGAAGTGACCGCCACCAAAGGATTGATGTTAGCAAGTTGGTTGCAACTTCTGTTTCTAGTAAATATCGAACCGAGCTAGCTACCATTCTACCGAAAAGTATAGATGAGCATTGGTTGCAATTGCATGACGCCATGAAAATGGCGGGTAAATTCTATTGTGGGTTCGCGAAACGTCCCGCTTATAAGCACTGGGTTTTTTCTGGTTCCTTACAACTCATTAAAGCCCTTCGGTCTACTCCGGGTGACCGTGAGTTTGACCACAGACGAAGGATGTTACGTACTGAAATTGGGAAAAGCTTGCGTGAGGACCGAGAAGCCTTAGATGGTGGTTGGAGGTAGTCGACAGGAAACCCTGGACCCGGGTTTCGTGCTACGTGTACCTGTAATCTTTGAGGGAACTGGTGCTCCCTGACAGATTCGATCCCGTGCCACCCAGCTTCACAGTCAGAGACGTTACCACTGAGCTATCCGGGACGCGACCGACCTCCTGTAGGACTGAGATGTAATCACAATTGATTGATCACTGGGTGGTGACCAATGTCATGTGTGTCAAGTCCTTCTTATTGCGGATCGAATGCTATCGACCGAGAAGTCTAGTGGTCGGAGCGTGATGATGAGCTGGAAGCAGCAGCTGCATCTGATAATTACCGGAAGCTCTTCCAACTCATCCGAGCCACTGGCAGCAAGAAGTCTGGTGTGAGCGAAACAACCCGCAAGGATGACGGGACGCCAATCACTAACATAATCAATATTACGTATCTATCAATTAAAAATGAAACATAACTAAATTAAAGCAAGAGAAAGTAGAGCAACTACTGACAATTGTTTTGTTGTAGATGAAGTTGATCCAAGGATAGGGATTTTTTTTATCATAAATTAAACTTAAAACATAATTTTCAATGAAAACTTCTATTCCAATTACAAGTAGCTAGTAATTTTAGCTAGTACGACAGTTCATTGTTTTTTTTCATAATGCAATGTCATCAACTAAAAAACTATTGAAAATCACAATGCTAGAGATAACTGTATATCGTTTTCATTCAGGATTTTTTAGTAATGTACATCAGAGACTCTGAACCTTAAATGTTGGTTACAAATAAAATTCCCTTTGAATAATACAAAACCTTGACAAGACCATCGAAGTAATAACCACTTCATAAAGTTTATAGCAGCTCACGTGAATTTGAGAGTGTTCACATTTAATTTGGTTAAGCCCTGTTAACTTATTTAACGGACAGTTCTTCGTACAATAACAACTTATCTCTAACATTGTACCACTAATATCGTTGCTCTTGTATGAATATGCATGCTTGAGCATTGCTTACCGCCTACGTACATATTCATTCTGCTAACTTTAGTGTCAGTAGCTTGAATGATTCGATGACTCATTCATTCATGTATATATATGTACATTTTAATCCTGTTCATTTGACTCGCTTGCTTGCTTTTCGGCGCTGGCCTTTCATTCTTGCTTCGTGTGTCTGTGGTTTTGGTGACCTGTGCGTAGTCCAATAATAAACGTGATCAACGCTTCGTATTCGTCTTCTGATTTATACACCGTTGGGGGGGGGTGTTATCCGGTAACGCTTATTAGGACGAACAGTTTACGAAGTTTAAGAAGAATATCGAACAACAAACACAAGTTCATTTATAAGTGATATCATAATTCACTCAACTTCTTTTGCCATATAACTTATGTATAATGATGATAAGTTGATACAAATTGATCCAGTAAGGACTAAGTGGAAAAATATTCATCTACTATTTAAGTGTATGTTCACATATCTATTAGTGGAGAGAGGAATCAATTGATAACCCAAAATGGGAGAAATTTAAGAAGCAATTCCATTACGTAAAGTGATAATAAAGACTAAGTATTAAGACGGTAGTTCAGATGAAATGTAGACAGTGAAGTCTTTACGAACTGAGATATAAATTTATGATGAATGCACAAAATCAATCAAGTCTGATTGCAGGGTATTCGCCTCCAAATACATATCATGATATGTGATTTACTAAAAGGGTTTTTATAAGAAATTTATTCGCTACTTAAGTGTTTATTAAAACAGTAGTATATATGTACACCATAACTACGATAAGTGTAAACGGTGGTACAGATAGTCAAAGTTAAAACTATTTAAATGAATTGATGTTCAATAACATTAGAGTTTATCGATGAAAATGAAGCCAAATGACATGGTATTGTAGTGTGCTACAAACAGTAGAAAAAAATCCAAAAATATATAATAAAAGGCATTGAAAAAGAAAGTATCAGCTTACCAGTTTCAACACGTGAGTCTAGTTGATCCTGTGGTAGTAAATAACATGTGAGATACTGTTCTTGTGTAACAGGATCTACATCTCTTTGTAATGTAATAACTGGTTGAGATTGATTTTGTGAAAGCCATAAAGCTGTCAATGAGCATCTTGATAAACTAAATGGTAAACGATCAAGTCTACAAAGTAATTTTAATAATATAACAATCATTTCAATAAATAAATACAACCATAAACTAAAAAGAAAGAATACTCTCTAAGATAGAAATCAAGCATTATTTTATTAAAAGACTAGTATTTGAAAGAACAGTTAACATATAAATCGACCTTTACTGAATATGATTTGATATACATTTGCTGAGAATATAAAAAAGTGACTGAAACATTGTCGTGTAAGGAAATGATTATATTGAAAAATTAAATTCAGGGATGACAATTAAATGAGTAAACAAATATAAGTCAAATAAAATGTTATAATAAGGAATAAGTGGTACCTTGAATCAGATTGCTTGTATTAGGTTCTTTGTTCTATCTTATTCGGGTCCAATCAATGTTAACGGAAACGAAGACTATGATTACAGTTTATGGCCAATGAGTGGAATTACATGAAGTATGTCATTTAATGTATGTATTTATAAGCAGTCTAAATCTAACCATATATATTCAAGGTTTCATCCGAAGTTTTTATAAACGGGTGGATAAGTATATAGTATGTTAACCTTGGACGGATTTCATGGATTTTGAAATAAATTTTTGATTGTTATGCAACTGAATATCAAAATTGTCAATTCAATCAAATATCAAAAACTTCTGCAGTGCATACGGACACGTATAAACTTGTCAATGACAGGTGTACTTTGTTTTACGTCACTCTTAGACAGTATATTCAAATATATGACAATATTATCATTATAACAATTGTTGAAAAATATATATAAACCTACCTATTCCCAGAAACATCCAAAACTCGTAAACGTGTACAATTACCAATTTCATTAGGTAATCTATGCAAGTTATTTTCTCGAAGAGACAAAATATTGAGTGATGAACATTGACCAATCTAATAACATTTGAAGAATAAAATGAAGTTGAAGCAAAATTAAAATACATGGAACAAAGAAAACAAAAGAGATGAACAAATCAACAAATAAAAATCCAATAAATACACCATATAATAAACTTAACAAATCAGACAAGTTGAATAACTAAATCGATTGTACTAGGCGAATATTAGTGATTATTAATTAACTCACTCACCAGTTACTTGAATATAAGCCACACTTTAAGTTTCAGGGATAATTATACTAGTTGGTTGCCCAAACTGACATAAGTGTAGTGGGATTCGACCCTGGAGCTTGAGGGCTGAAAGTCAAGTCTTGAACAATAAACCATTGCTCTATATTACCATCATGTATTATTGTGTACAATCCGTCCAGTTGTTAGTTCAGTAGGATAGAGTTTACAAAGAATACATAAATAAACAAAATGTATGCACACTATTTATGGTTGTTAGTGTAATTAAATCAGTTCACTGACACTTTTACGTAGGACTAGGAAACCGAATCGGATAAAGTAAAAAAAAATAAAAGCATGCATAAAATAAACTTATTATTGCTACAACTACTAGCACTACTATTATCAATACAACTGAATCTATTTAATAGTACTACACACAAAATCAATTACAATCACAATCTGCTTTCTGAATACAATATAAAGAAATTTGTGGCATAGAATGAAACCGCTCATACATTTAGTGAAACTAACATCCATACGAAACATTATCGACAGGTTAAGGGAACATGTAATAACATCTAACTGCTAGAAGTTGGTTCTGTTTGTAGTAAAATAATAGAATGGTTGAAACTCTTTCTCATACAGGTCAAACTGAATTGTGTTTGAATTTAAATAAGGAAAAATAATATGGGATTCATTGAACGCAGAATGAACAGATAAGTGTATATGATATACTTTAACTTGGGAGATCAATCAGTCTTGAATGTTGTTAGAGGTATGAGGATGGTTATCACTTCCCGCACTGTGGGTGGATTTTTCTAGAGATAACTGAAAAAGAAATTGGGCTAGAGGTGGTCCTAGTGAGCTGAGAGCGTGACCCCAGTACCCAAGAGACAACTGCGTAAGGCCGGCCACACATAACCTTTTTGTGAGTAATTTTCATGTAAGCTCCGTACTTGTTGTAACCTTACCGATGGACATTCGTGGGATAAGGTGAGGTGTGCATTTTTAAGGTCAACCTACTCTAACCCCCATCTTTCCTTTGTGGGAGGACAGCATAGCTGTTAAGCTGGTTGTCTGAGGGAAACACCTTACTGCTATCACGTTTCTGTACCTTCAGCAGTACGAATTCGTCCTCGGACCTTGGGTTTGTTGCTTTTAGTCGTACCGCTCTTCAACAATATTATTATTATCAGTTAAACATAAAAACATTGGTACAAGGAGGCACCAAATACATATGCGCCACATAATTCATTCGATTTATGTGAGGGCTATGATACTTCCCGGGTGCCCAACCGAAGCAGGTGGTTTTCTTAGGGGTCATACTAAGAGCATTTGACCCCAAGGTCTGATCTACAAGGAAGTGGGGTAACATAAGGAGATGCAGTCTCGTGGTAGTCAGTGACCAACGACTGGTTAATACGCCATTTGTTCTGTCGGGATCGTGAAGCTCATGTGCACGATTGGTTAGAAATCAGGGTTTTCCAACTCCTTTAGGTGGACTCTCCATGTCCATAGACACGCTTAAAGCGTCGAACATTCGCTTTCCGTCCTCTCAATTTCGTAAACAACACTCCCGCCGCGAGAAGGTAGTGAGTAGGACTTCCCTGGTAGTGGTTGTATACACGTGACCATTTGAGAGCATTTCGAGAAGAGCTGACTCTCCTCACTCTCGGCCGTACCAGGGTATTTGGGAACATTTTTTGTTCTTCAACCAACCTGTCTGGCACGACACGACCTTGAGGAACGGTTTATTTATTTGAACACATAAATATTGGTACAGGGGGGCACTAAATATATATGCGCCGCACAGAATAGAGTTTTCAGAGAATATCATCATGTCCATTATATTTATGTGTAGGCTGTGATACTGCACGGGTGCCAAGACCAAAGCAGGTGGTTTTCTTAGGGGGCCACACCCGAAGCCTTTGACCTAAAGGTCTGATCCACAAGGCAGTGGAGCATCGTGAGGAGATGCAGTCCCATGGTAGCCGGTGACCAAGAAATTGGTTCTTTTGCCATTTGTTTCCGGGGGATACCGGGGCCTATGTATACCATTGATTTGGGATCCGGTTGAAGCGCCGTACGTTCGCTTTTCGTCCTCTCATTTTCGTAAACAACACCCCCGCCACGAGAAGGCAGTGAGTAGGACTTCCCTGGCAGAGGCTGTATAAGCGTGGCCGTGTGAGAGTACTTCGATAGGGAGGGCGAACCCACCCCACTCCCGGCCATACCAGGGCGTTTGGGGGCAGTGGAACGTTGTTTCAGCCAGTATAACTCAATAGGTTCATCACGATAGGTAAGCCTGACCACCATGTCAAGGTAGGGGCAACGGTCGGGGATTTTGAAGATAATCTCATCTAAGCGTAGAACTTTATACTAACAGCAAAAACAGTCCGTAAAACTGAACACATTCAATCATTGGTTACGATAGACAATTTAGGTAAATTCATGTATTGTTAAGACCTTATTTTCAGAGTATTATAATTACTTTTCGAAGCATAACTACTAGATGTTCACCTGCATTATGAATAACATCGATGGAATAGAGGTGATTAGCTCTACTGAAGCTCAAACCATGAGAAAGATACAGTAAAAAGTAGTAGGCTAAACAGTAAACCTATATTACATTTCAGTAACTTAGAGGAGCTGTTATATAAAGTATCGTCAGAATTTATAAATACAAATCCTTACTAAATGATTTCAACTTGATACAAATTTGGCTAATCAAGTCTATTATTGTCAACAATTAGATAACGATTGTATGAAGTTGTTTCCAATTAAATACTTCATTTAGTACAATAACTACTATAATATCAATTATTATCTCGAAAATAGACGAGGAAAGACAAAAAATACATATATTTGTTATATCTGGTTATTCTAAGGTTGTAGTTTGTATTAAATATACTTCAAGGCAAAGAAATAGTGAACGAATATTGTAAAGATTGGAACAGGTTTTTCGAATTATTAATTTTGTTGTATAACCACTGAGTAACTAGATCAATATGTATATACATTCCACTTACATAAACTTTCGGTCGACTGACTAACTAATGTTGTGAGATTTGCTATTCCTAATTTATTGCCTGTTTATTACTCACAGTCCCCCCTGTTCACTAGCACTTTTGGTTTGTTCATGTACAATTGTTATTTCTCATTTTGTGGTATGATACCGTTTGGTATGCCCGTATGTAAACCACGTCCGTTTGAAATATATATCAGAAGTTAATTGCTGACTTTTGGACTTAAAGGAAGGGCTTTTGAAAAATGACCCAATAAGAACCTAGCCGCCGGCTCAAAGTCAATAGTGCTGGTCGAGCGTGTAATAAGAACCAGAATTCTGATTGGTGATTTGGCGAATGATGTTTGTCAACGGGTATTCAAGACATAAAAATACTATCCACATAATAATCATATATTGTGCTTCTCGACCACAGATTCATTTGCTAACTAACCTGACTCCAAGGAACAATAGTTCCAACCAATCAGGATCAACTGAGTTATCAAGGTAGAGGAGCTCCAATACCATCTACGGTCAAAGAACGTGGTTAACAGGTAGTCACTGACACTTCGATAGTTATATGAAAGTAACACAAACGGTTAATACAAATGGTTGTAAAACTTCAAATGGGAAAACTGAATCAATTAGATACACTACTGACTAGGAATAATCATATCATATTTACCCATATTATTTGTTTGAACAGAGAAACCTGGTAGAGAGTGGACAACACCCAGAACCATCCGCCCCAAATGTTCACCAAGTCGAGCATCGTGAACAGCATAACGCAATCAATAAACTAAGCAAGTTAAGGTTTAAATAGTAACTACTATTTCTTCAACGAACGTTTAATATGCATTTTTGTCGAAATACAATTATGTATTGACCTATTTAACTTGGCTTTAAGTAGATAATATTCGGAAAAATGCTACACTAAAAGGTATGCGACGATATATATATATATATCAAGAAAGAAATTTGATTACTTGATAAGTTATTAGGTTAACGATTATCGGTGATAATCAATCTGCATGAAGCATATATTGCACAAGCATAACAAATAATGTGTTTATTTCAAATTTGCATTGTCATCACTACTATTGGTACTAGTTGTTACACAATTCACATAATTTCATGAGATAAGATAGTTCAGTGGAATTAAATGCAGTGAGAATTAGCTAATTTGATAAGAGTTTGCCTCATTATGAATCAATATCATTAATAATTAGTAACTAGTGACGAGATAAACTTCCTCCAGTTTCATTGAAAAGTCATGCTACATGAGGTCAACTAAATTGAAAGCGACGACATACGGTCGACGATGATAGTGAATAGTAGTCACAAGCGTTCGACCTTTAACCACTAAGTCGAAAGTTAGAACCCCGCACTACTAGCTTCGATTCGGGCAACCGAGTATAACCACAAGTCCTAATGCATAAAGTGCGGCTCAAATTCAAGTATACAAATCTATGCCTGGTTAATAAGTTAACAATGATGATAACAAATAGTGAAATTCAGAAATCAGCTGAAATGTTAAACAATGGTAGACCAGTAGATGTCCTGGCGTTTGAAGAGATAGGTATTGGGTCTGGGATTCATAGTCAACATCCTCGTAGCTACAGATACATTTATTTATTTATTTGAACACATAAATATTGGTACCAAGCGGCACCAAATATATATGCGCCACACAAGTCACTTTATTTGTGTGTGGGCTGTGATATTGTGATACATCCAGTTAACGAATCCTAAATGCAATGAAATACACATACTGGATTTGACCAACAGCTGTTGTATATACATGTCGCAATTTACATACAAATCAATTTCACCAATAATAATAAATCAAAGATGCAATAATATCTTCGTGGTTTTTAAAATAGCATTTTGTTTGAAATGTCTTAAACGTTTTTCTAATGCATTGGACAGGATAAGAATATGGCACCCATTGACTGACATTCTAGAGCTCTATTCACCAGACAACACGGTGTTGACATCTGTTTTATCTATATTAGGTAAAGAATGTCTAGGAAATGTATTACGCTTTTACTTATAATACTTATTTTTACGTGTTTAGTCTTTGATAACACGTGAGACTTATGTAAAGAAATCCCTTAATAAAAGCAGAATCAAAGACAACTGAATTCGAGGAAAATAAGAAATACATAGGAATCATAATAAACGAGAAAGCAAATGTGTAGTAAAAGGAAAAATAGCAGTAGTGAGAAAATAACAAAACGCTAAGAATTTCTTACCTCAGGGGGTAACTCAGTCAATTGATTTTGATCAACATTCAGATGAAACATGGAGACTAAATTACCAATAGAAGACGGGAGTTTCTAAAACGCATTCAGTAATATAGAAATACATTGATATAACGATACACACCAATAAATAATTACGTATAAGTGCATTGTACTGTAAGTTACAAACACATGCAAACTTTATGAGCTAGGTTATCTCTATTAGTTGGAGCTGTAGGTTTAACGTCGTCACAGATCACCGAAACATTTCACAGTACCCGGTAGATTGAAGGAAAAATTTGAAAGACGATCGTAGTGTACTCATTTTTTTTAATTTATCTGTCATCTGTTCAAGTTATATATTAGGAGACAGATATACATTCACACACTACATAATAAACTCTGCAACATTGATGGAAATCCATAAGAATTATTCTAGTCACTGAAGTAACGAAATGGATAGGTGTCATAAATGAAAAGCAAATCGATCAATTAGAAGGAGAGAGAATGTAATTGAAAAAAGACTAATGCAATGTAGCCAACTAAGCTCAGTCAATTATCAGTACTTCACTAAACACCAAGTAATAAAGATTTTGTAACTTTCTTAATAAATTCGCCGATTATAGGAAATAGTAAACTATTTACAGGTGATGAAACTTTGTTTAAACCCAAGAAAATACTTGTATACACGGTAGACATTCAAGAAAATTTTAAAAATAATCAAAATGAAAGAAAAATTTTAGGATTATCAAGTAGTAGCAAGTTATAAGATGTCACAAGCGAACATAATCATTATGTTGACTTTAATTTGAACGAATAATTATTTTGTAACCAGCTACTACAGGACAAACATCAAATACACCTAAACCATATATGTACATTAAGAAAACATTATCTTATGTAAAACGCCGTCATAAAAACTGAATCAATATAACTTATTTCTGTAAGGTTATGGTAACTTAATTCCAGTACATAAATTGCAAATATTTTCATGAGACTAACGATTTGACCTACACAAATTTGTCATGTTATAGGCATATATATAATTAAAATATGTGATTAACAGGTTAGTATAAACACCAGTTTTGATTGATAGTATAATATAATACGTTTAGTCAGAAAATTCTTTTCCTACGACCTTCATGAAAAGAATAATTTCCGTGACAAATATTTTCATTCATTTCAAGTGAATGAAAATAATGAAGTAATCTGAAAACTTATCCTGACAATATGTTTATTGATACACAGAAAATTCTTAGAGAAAGAAATAATATTTATTGAAGTACACCCGTGTAACAATTTAATTCAGTAAAGGAATCCTTTCCAACGAGCTCATTTTCAAAACTATACAATCGTATATATTGTATATAAGTCAATGCATAATTAATTGTATATCTATTAGAATTCGACTGGTAGTTATATGAACTATTAAATAAGAATAATTGGTTCAGCGAAGAGTTAGGCTGGGGATAAACTCCGCGTTTTCAAGTCATATAAGTATGTGGAAGTCAGCAATTGTGGTTATATTTTCATTTATTTAGTCACTCAATTATAGATATTTTAGAATACTTTCTAATAAAGAATTAATTGGAGGTAATCTTTTGCTAGGTTGAAATTTTTCTTCCATATCATAACTGACTGATCTATGCTTGACACGTCTGTAGCATAATGGAGTGGTATTTTCGTCACAGAAAACTTTACATTTCTCATGTAAGCCAGAAAAACAACAGATAACGAAATATGCTGACCAGCATGGGTTATAAAAGGGTAAATAACATATCCCGCCTCATTTTGGTTGGTTATTAAGAGCAAGGTCAAAATTGAAGACGAAAGTACAATTTATCTTGACCCAAGAATTCTCTTTTCGGCGAACTCATTTTCAAAGCTGTTCCAAGTCATCTACAGGGTAAGTAGAAAGCTTCCAAAAACAGTTATATTCCATCTTCTTAATATTACAGAAGCATTAGCTAAGCATCTGGGAAAACTAGAATTATGTGTTCAAACGAAACTTGCACAACTTTTTCTTCTACCATAGTCTTAATCTCGTATTTTTTTCTCTTCTTTTCAACCCATCTTCTCAATTAACCTTCAACCCCAACTGATATATTTATGTTTTTATGATCTTTCTGATTACAGTTCATTTCAATTTCAACAATTAATCTTATCATACTGAGTCTTCTCTTCGTAATTATAATTTCCTTATCTTTCTTCATGATGAATATTTAAGATCCCAGAAACAAAATTATTAATGGTTTCCTCAATAAAAAGGACAATTCATTACCTTGTTTATTCTATCTCACTGTTACTATGTTTAACAGAATTTTATCACTATTATTGTACTTATTATAGTTTTGAAGAATAGATATATATGTGCAACTGTACAGCTTTGAAAATGAATTCGCCGAGAAGAGAACTCTTCGTTGAATCAATCTTTCTTGTTTTATGTCTCAATTTATTTATTTATTTTAACACATAGATATTGGTACAAAGAGGCACCAAATACATATGCGCCACACAGATCTCATTTGATATGTGTGAAGGCTGTGATACTGCACGGGTGCCCAAACCGAAGCAGGTGGTTTTCTTAGGGGGCCACACCTCGCGCCTTCGACCTAAAGGTCTAACCCACAAGGCAGTGGAGCATCGTGAGGAGATGCAGTCTCATGGAAGCCGGTGACCAAGAAATTGGTTCTTTCGCCATTCGTTCCTGCAGGATACTGGAGCCCGTGTGCACCATTGATTTGGGATCCGGTTTAAGCGCCGGACATTCACTTTTCGTCCTCTCATTTTCGTAAACAACACCCCCGCCACGAGAAGGCAGTGTCTCAATGGGCATATTCCGTTTGCTATATGAAATATGGCTACGTAATTTTATTCTATTGATCATATATTCTTCATGTTTTGCGAATTCTATCCTTCAATATTTGTTTATGAGAAAATTATGTAGTCAAATCTCTCAGAATAGCTAATTAAACTCCAACATATATACAATTAATTATTTGTTGATGTATAATTTATCACATATAATATAAACGATTGTACAGCTTTGAAAATGAACTTGTTGGAAAAGATTCTTTTCCTGAACATAGTTACTTTATAAAGAAATAATATTGTATTATAATTTGACTTAAGACTATAAATATTGGAGATTATGAGTGAGTACTGTTGAGGAGACTTCAAAATATTACGAAACAAGTGTTTAGTGCTACCTAATTTTCGGATGATTTTCCAGTTGATGTCACTTTATGATCAAAGCTACAATTAAGCCAAACAAAATTTTCACAAGACGATTTTAATTAGACATATTATGAAAATAATCTTCTGTATTCAAAATGTTATATTGGATATAGTTACACTAATTATTAATATATACTTACAGAAAGAAAATTTTCAGTTAAATATAATTCTTGTAAACTGGAACAGCTGAAATTAACAAAAGATGTATTTGTTATAGATAAAATGTAATATTGAATAATGAACATTAAAAAAATGATAAAATTGCCATTTAATTTGTTAAATATAAAGGTTTGCATCACGACAATAAAAGTAATATCTAACCCATGATGAGCAATTTAGAAATATAACTTTTACACAACGTTTAGTGGTTTGTGCACGAGAATCTTCATCACTGCGTCTCGACATCAAGCGTCACCTCAACTACGTCAGTTTAGTCAGTCGGGCAGTGTCATCATAGCTACTACAAATATACGTATCCCATAGTTTAGTACACGAACGTGTAATAGGTTCGTTTGGTGAGAAAACTTTCTCATACCTATTGAGTTTTAGCTAAGCCGGTGTGCGAGTTATCGATCATTATCACGATAGTCAACAATTTGTGAAGTAATTGTGGAATACCAACCGATTTATAAAAAGCTCTCACATTTGATTTTGTTTCTATATTTATTTTTTCTAGCAATATTGTCTAGTATGCTGATGAAAATCACACACAGTTAAACTAATTAACGCACAAAACTAAAGTGCTAACGAAATCATGCATGTGCCAAAAAAGTGTTATTTTAGTAGAAATAAGGATTTTAAAAAAGATCAAATATGATTAAACGTAAAACAATCTAGCATCATAGGGAAATAGATCAAAAGTCACATGATGACAGTAAAGTCTAGTCAATGCGAATGCATTAACAGATGAAGTGTATTTCACGTCTAAATGTAAAAGCCACTGATTTGTAATAGATCAATTCATTTTATGAACAGATATGTGAATGGACATCTGTGAAAACATAGCACATAATATTATCAAAGACAATAAATGGAAGCATTAAAAAAGAAGTTCATTATCAACTTGAAACCTGACACAAATATGCACTAATCATAACTGTAAGAGTTTACATCAGCACAGAAAGAAAATTTACGTTTAGAATGCGGAGTGAGAGCAAATATGTCAGTATAATAAAATCATTATAAAAGGAGCAGCTAATTCACAGAAAGAAATAGCCACACACTTCAAATGATCAACACTGAGGATCAATTCTTGTCACTTTGAATATGTAAATAGTATTAATAATTTTTAACTTACTTTCCTATAGTTGGTGTTACTGTTAGCAGTCGATTTTGATTGAGTTTTAAAATGATCAACTTGTCTAAATCACCTTAAAAATGAAAATAACGACAACAGGTAAACAAAAATTATCGGTACCACTAAAACTTTTAAATAGATTTAATATGACACTTAAGGAATGAATATACATAAGAAAATAAAGAAAACTTTATGGATATTTATCTTTAACAGCAAACTATACATTTTTGATAACTTACAATCGTATATATATATATATATATATATATATATATATATATATATATATATATATATATATATATATATACCAGATAAAACTTTATTATCAATATGATAGTCCGAGTAGAAGATACTCTACATGAATGTTGACTACAGAGGCGACACACATATTGAAGAGGATAATCGCAAACGCCTTCAAAAGAACATTCTTCGCAATAATCCTGAGAAAGACATTTACCAAGATCATAAACATTTAACCCTTTCAATATCTGCTAGTCAGTTTACCTGTTTCTGTAAGGCAATATATATTGGTCATTCGGTGAGCATTTATTCCACAAGCGTTTAGAAAACGTACGCTGAATGGGTAAAGAAACGTAAAAGTGGCTGCACAAGAAGTGTAGTTATAAAATACCTTGTCAATACCGACAATGAAATTAGAAGAGATTCAGTTTGCAAGGTCCTTTACAATTTGATCACAAAACTACTAAAAGCGGCATGTTTCTATCTATTTGTTATTGTTGAAGCTCTCATTATGTACAAAGAAGCCCAAACTATGGATGCGAAATAAACTTGTCCAGCAACCTATCTTATCATGAACTGAACCTATAGAAGTTTTAAATATTAAGTTTATTCTATACTTTATTTGTTAGATTTTTCAGATCCTCCTTTCTCTCCATTAAGTTATTGAATTTGTAATCGAGTCATCTACTTTTGTTTGCGTGATCATCTCTGATATATTTTATTTTCGATGTTTATATCACTATACTGAGTATATAGATTCAATAATTATCATTTCCTATCTACTTTTTACATAATTCTTGATTCAACTTTGATTCAACAATTAACTACGAGTGAAAAATTTTGTATTAAACTTTTGTCTCTGTAATTAATCATTGTTATTATAGACTATCATTGTGAAAATACATACATATGGAATTATCAAAAAGAGATCTTTTTAATGAACCATATTCTTGATTCGCTGTACAACTGTGAAAAATAATTTCAGTTAGGTTAAAACTTATTTAAGCTTAAGTACTCAAGTTCGAAAGAATGACTTGAGGGTTTGATTACTTGGGAAGATTTAGACGGTTACATATAATATATTTTTATGTAATGTTCATGCGACTTATAGTTCAGTATTTAAACAAGTAGCATTTACTATGTATTAAGTCAGACAACTGGGCAAGTAATATACAAATTAGATAGAGAAATTAACATGAGTGTTGGGATATTCGGGAATACTGTATTTTTGAACTTTGAAATATTCTTCCATGTTGATGATAATGTGCAAATAGTTTGATTATTTTAAATCCACAAATATTGATATTATTATACCGTCTCTAACATCTTCAGTTAAATCTTTTGAGGTTAAACATCAAACCAAGCCGTAAAAATCAGAAAAATATTAAAATGTTCTAAGGAAGAATATACAAAACTTCTTTTTACTTGTACATCAATTAGAATAATCAGTAATTTTGCCCGGTATTTGAAAGATATGACAGCAGATATCAAGATGAAAACGCCGACTGATAAAATCTGAAAATAAGGATCTTTGGGAAAAAATAATTCGTTGACTGCAAACTCATTTAATTCTGTTTGACTTATAATGAGATAAGTAAAGATAAAGCTGTGCAGGTTATTAATAAAAATAATAATATAATAATAATATTAATAAATTACAATTCCTTACCCAAGCCATTTGGTAAATGTGTTATGCTATTTTGTGATAAATTTAAGTCCGACAGTGAAACTAATCCCGAGATGCTTTCCGGCAGAGTAGAAATAAGGTTTTCTGATAAATCCAACTGTTGCAAATTCCCAAGATTTCCCAACTCCTTGTAGTTTGGTTTTTTCATATACCAAAACACAAATGTAATGTGAAGCGAAGTGAAAATAAATAAAACATAACCGTTTATATATTAAAATCTACGGCTAGTCCTTTGTATGCAGAACACAATTGTGAAGACAAAATAATACAAGAAACAGAAATGTTTAGCTTCCCCTCACCACCAGTATAATTAATGGTTGGAGGCGGTGGGTGACATGGCTCAAAATTGGTCACAATGGCTCACATGCAGTATCTGTCTTCCCTTAGATCATGAGTTCTAAAATAATCTTACACTAGTTATTCAGTAAATTCAGTCTTTACTCCCAAAATATATTGTCTGCGCATAATGTTTTTTACTACTGCTGACGCTTACTACTTCTATTCTGGTACTAGTCGACTTCACTTAAACACAATTCGCATTATGCAAATTCATTTATCCATAGATTTGAAATAGAACTTAAAATACAAATTACACATCCATGAAGCATCTAATAAATTAGCAATTAATCTGTAATGATTAATATGGATAAACAAGGATGCGTGGTAGATATTGTTCATAGTCAGAAAATCTAATTAGTATTTTCAGGGTCTAAGAAGAAAGCGTTTAACAATAGACTTTCCGGAATATTACAGGTCATCAGCTGAATCGTGTATCATAGAAGGTGAAGATCTGATTAAAGACTAGTTGTCCTCACAATCCAGTCTTTATTTGGTTACGAATGAGTTTGAGGTTACGGAAGCTTACAGAAAATGTCAAGACCGATTCCATAAAAAATACGGCCAAATGAATTGCATAAATTTGGAAAGTCCTCTAGTTTATAGTTGGAAATGTGACCTATCTCATCATTTTTAATTTCGAGGTGAAATCATGCCTTCACCGACAAATAAAGTTTAGCTCACACTGCATGAGGTAGAAATACGAAATCATGACAACTACTCACTCCAGATGCAACGAAAATACTTTGGGTTAACGCATACAAAGACAAAACCTTTTAACCTACTGGCGATATCAAGGGCAATATATATATATATATATATATATATATATATATATATATATATATATATTCCAGGCAACACAGTATCACAGTAATCAAGAGATTCTAGTAAAAACTATGAATTATGAAGTAATGGGTGTAGAAATAAAATATAACTAATATAGAAATGCTCATGACGTTTAAGTAATCTAAAAAAGGTTTTCAAATTATGAAGAAAAACTGGTAAATGTGATATTCTAGACGGTACCGAGTCTCAGTGAGGTGAACAGAAAAAGTTACTTCTATTTGAGCAACCAATACCGAACATTATAGCAAATCAGCCATGAATGTAAAAACGCACAAGATGAAACCATTGATCGACATACTGAATTGAACGACCACTCACATTTGTAACATTATATAGTAAAGCAATGACTTGTCTATATTATCATGTGACCTATAAGTATATCGCTCAGACTAGCCACACATCTAAACAATACAATGAGAAAGACCGAAAGTAAAGTACCAGTGATAAGAAATATGATGGGAACTATAAAAAGAAGACAGGAAATTACTGTACGAGGGATAGCAAAATAGTACGGAATAACATATTTGCAAGATAAAATGTATATTCACTTATATTATTGTGGTTGATGTTCAGCCAGGCTGCTAAAATATCCAATATAGGATTCTTAATACTTCATATATCTTATTGTCTACAACTCAAATATATCTAAATCAGAATGGTATATGAAATACAGGATGCATACAGCTACTACACAAAAATCTATATGCAATGCCCTCAAAAACAGAGAAATTAGCAGTAAAACACAAGCACGCAAATTGAACGATAGCCACATTAAAATTCGTAAGAACCAAGAGTAGGGAATAATAGGAGTTAGTGGGCGGTGAAATCAAAATATATAAAAACCGTAAAAAGGTAAAAATAAATTACTTATAGAAGAGTAACCATTCCCACAAAAAACAATTAGTAAATTAAATATTTTCTCAACAGACTGGATAACAAATACAAATACATGCCACAAACGAATAGGCACATGATCATTAGACTAAGTCGCCAAATTTACTGTAGTATAATGAAAGGAAACTGACAATAGAATAAATCAAAAGGCTAAAACTGATAAAAAATAATTTAAGTCAAAATAAATGGACGAAATTAGAGAATGAAAAGTATCAGATAACAACACGTCCAGAGAGTAGATAATTGCACCTGAGCCACTTTAATCAACTAACTTGCACCATAAATGACTGGTATAGTTAATTTACATTAATTAATAACTGTCAATCTTCGAATATTAAGTTAGATCGACCAGATGATTTTATTTTAAAGATAACTTGTTTCTCTACAGACACGGAAGCTATTAACGCTTCCCACTAGTATATTAATAAAAAAAGACGAAAACTTTATTAAAATTACATCTTACTTCAGGTAATGATCTCAATTCATTATCATCTATCCATAATTCGCTCAATTGAGAGAGCTGACCAATTACGGGAGACTAAATAAAAGTGGAAAGTAAATTTTAAGAAAACTAAACTCTGTAGAGCCACGAAAAATACAATTATATATGTGTACATAATATAAATGTAGTTCTTGGGAAATGATACTTACCTTTTACCCACCAGTTCAAAGGATAGTTAAGCGAACTAAGCTAGTTGATATTGTGGATTTGGGGGTGGTGGCTAGACCACACACTTAATACCTGTTAAATACAAGTTAATAATGGTTAAGTTTGTGTACACCACTTCCCAGCAGTTAGGTCTTATTATTACCACTAAATTCTGTTTTGTAGTCTGTTTGATTGATAAGTCAGGAAGGCACAAAAATTAATCTGAAGCAGAGGATTAAGTGTTGTTTTCGTTGTAATCAGCATGTGACAACTTAACATGTTTCACATTCATGAGATGGAAACACTGTTAAAATGAGCAAACAATTTTCTAATTAAACGATTTGTTTAGATGACAAAAAATGTGGGAAAAAACTCACCAACTCTTGAAACTCATTGGCACCAAGATCAAGAAACTCCAAATGAATAAGATCAGCGAAAGAATCTGGTATTGACTTGAGACAATTATCACGAAGTTCTAATTTTTCTAGTAACTGTAAACTGAACAAAAATAAAGAAGTATTATGCCACAACTAGTCTTAATAAATTTGAAGTCATTTAGATATGTCCATCAGGCAAATACAATCCTCACTCTTTGGTGGCAATTACAACTTGCTTACAAGCAATAGCAGTTGGCATCCATACGTTTACCTAATATTACAGCTGTCAAACAACGACATAAAACTGATGGTGGACGAGAATTAACCAAAGATACTACGTGAACTATGCTGGAAAAAATATAATAGTTAGACGTAAACGAGACATAATGCTCGTCACGCTTAAACATTCTGCAACACTAGTATACTGATGAAGCTTAGTATGACCATTTAGATTAACGCACATTGAGGCTAGGCTTTATGTTGAATATAAATGACTGGTAGAGCTTGGTTAATAAGTTAATTTAGTTAATACAGAAAAAGCCTTATCGTTGGCATACTTGATTTTGTATAGAGTTGTTCCAATAGCATTCAAATTGTACTTAAAAGATAACTATACGACACTAAGATTTTTCAAATTTTATAAGTAGCAGATCCACCCAGGTCACCGGGTTAAGTGAAAACACCGCATAAAGAACATACGAAAGGTAGTGAGAAAATCAACCCCAATGGCTAATAAATTACATTCAATTTGTTTTTTTTTCAAAACCCTGAGCACCTCAGTGACCATCTATTTTTTTCTGCAGAATCATTAGGGTATTATAGAGTTGGTTTCAAGTGTAGCAACTTGAATTTGTGAGATTTCGTTTAACATTCCAGGCTTAGACGTTTGTCATGACCATTCAAATAAATTTTGACCAACAGCAACAAATCAATTGGCCACGATTAGCTTACGCATACAAGTAATGCTTTAAAGTACTTCCTTTTAGATTATGATGTGATGCAATTGAAGTAAAACCGAATCAATAACCGTATATTTTTGCTAAGGTCAGGATAATTTACGGGTCGGAAAATTATCACCCGAATAACTTAAGTTTTCAATCGCAGTCCCATGAATAAAAACCAATTAGTCGCTCAAATCTAGTTCATTAGACTGATATTATATCAATAAGCTCTTCCACAACAGGTGTCATGTCTTTCAATATCATTCTAGTATGTTAGGTGCTATGTTGGACACCCTTTTGAGATTTCTCTTTATGCTGCTGAAGAGACTTGAATTGATTTGTTCTAAGTTAGGTCATTATTCAAGTAATTAAAAGTGATGCCTATAAAAACATGTATAGAGTAGCACGATGTTACTATGTAATTAGTAAACTGATTTGATATTTTACTTACGATTACAAAAACAACAAAAAACCTACCTGCCTATTTCTTCTGGAAGCTCAGCAATTGAAATATCATTAAGACATAAAACTCGAAGATTGCGCAACTGGCAGAACCCAGCAGGTAAGCTGGAATTGGCAGAGTGGAATATATGAGTTAATATAGTCGGAAAATTCAAAGCAACATGAAATGATAAACTCAGGTTCTGTAATAAAGTCACATTCTATTTTGAAAAAATAAGGTACCATAGCTTTTTTCCGAGAAAAACACTAGCAACTGATTTTACTTGTTTTTATGAATATAATACAATACATATACTTATTGTCTTTGTAGTTCAAAACACAATTAATTTGAAGTAGATAAAATAGCAAACTTTCAATTACAATGTTTTAAAGTGAAGGAAACCAAAAGTGAGCCGATTAACTGCACAAACATCCAATTTTATTCACAGAAAATTATTATTATGTAGTATCCCGCAATAGGTACTCTTTATTACCATTTATATGAACATGGGGTTACACACAAAATTCAGACCTTCAGTTTTTGACACTGGAAAAAGGAGAATAATCTGAACTCTCACTGGAAATATAAGGTAATAAATACCATAGACTACAAATGCCATTCAGAAAGCTGGTAATATTTTATAAAACCGATAACAACAAAATCATGAGTGACACAAAATAAAAGAAATCACCTCATCTTTCAAACTTAATTCTAAATAACATGTTGACAGAATTTAGACTAAAGTCAACTCGTCGATATCTTAGTCATAATAACAACGAAGTGTACCTTTAGTTTATAATAATGAACAATAATAATGTTTTTTTCCTGGAAAATGGGACATGAAGCCTGGTAGTTCACGACTTTCGTTACGTTTTCGAGACACTAAAGACGAGATACTTGAATAGTAAGATTCGCGGCAAGACGAATTAGCATGTTAATCAGTGGTACTAATTAGTGGGTTAAAACAGAATAAATATGACGAATTTTCGAACTTTCGTTGAGTGAACAGTTGTGCTTTATTGAGGCTCTGTGACAGTGCAGGTTGGGCTTTATTACTAGCCTCTGATGTCTAAGGGTCGTAAATATCAAAAACATTCCCAGGGTTTGAAACCCGAAAATAAGACACTAAAGAGATATATGTTACTGAGACTTATAATGAAGTATTGAAGCGTCCAAACGAAAAACAGTTTGCATGAAAAATATAACTGACTACACAGTTAGTTATTTTTTGACCTAGACAACTAAACTTTTACCCAACCGCAAGAATTATTACCACAACATTCGTTTGAATTTAGTGCATGTCAAAAGTACGAATTGAATATTTGTATACCATATTTCAATTATCGATAACCCACCTTTGCAAAGGATTATTGCTTACATCCAAACTCTGTAAGGAATCACAGAACCGAATACTCGCAGGAAGCTCAGATATATCTGGACTTATGAAGAAAGTTTAGCCAAAATCATACCATTTCTACTAATGTCCAACTCCACAAGATTAGAGAAGCTGCCGATTCCAGTTGGCAAGCGTGTTAGTTCATTATCACTCAGAGTGAGGAGACGAATGCGCTTCAGGCGGAAAAAGTTCTGAAACAAATTACAATGAAAATCATTAAACCCATTCCATTTCAAGCAAGATTGTGTTAAAAACTTTTAAATACCTTTGGTAATTCCTTGATTTGGTTGGCATCTAAACGACACTCTTCTAAAGTGCGAAAATTTCTTATGACATCATCCGGAACTTGTTCAAGCTTTGAATGACGTCTATCAATATGATCTATATGTCGACCACAAGGCCCTATGATTGGCAAACACTTGAACATTATAATTCATTGACAGACATTTCGTAATATCGCGCCATTTCGATGTGAAGGTTTTACAGTGACAATGACCCAGTAGAACACACTGAATGTGTTGCTTTAAAAACACAAATCTAGTGTTCCGCGATAAGTCTCGATTTAATTCAGTCTTCTTTTGAAATTCGCAATAGATTTAGATTCAATCACGAGTTAAGGTAAAGATCTTCATTCGTTGATGATTCGAATTTGGATAGTATGCTAATTTTCCTACTAGACTTGAATATTTACTATCTCGGTCTCTCTCCCAACACGTTTATATGAAATATGTGTAGGGCAAGTGGAATGTCAATGAGCCCCCACAAAATAATCCGGCAGTTGTGCCACTGAATTACAAACAGTTCACTGATCCTCGTCAGGGTCAAGGACAATCAATGCGCATTAGTTAATTGCATGTCATGGACTGGTCCATGTGGTTGTGGTTGCACTCTGTTCGTTGAACCTACGCTTACCAATATATTGCTGTAATAACGTCGCTTGTGCTCATATCCACAGTACTTGCATACGACGAGTGGATAATCCACGTTAAGTACTAACCGTAAGGTATAACTTCGACGTTAGTTGACCGCCAATCATTCCACACAAATCATCTATGCTGGTGATTTACAGAATGTAGAATCGTTGGTTAGCTGACAGATAATTGATTCTGTGCTTTTGAAGATGTTTTGTGTTGTCTTAAGTTCCTGTTTTGGAATACGAGAAGACGGAGTTCATGTGAGATAAAGAAACCGTCATTTATTATTAATCAATATGATTATTATGTTAATGTGGCGTTCTTTCAACTACTGTGCCAGGAAAATCGTTGGTTGAATTTGCAGCTACATATGAGACAAGAGATTTGAAGTGTCTTTTGTAAACTGATGGTCTTTTTTTAACTATTGGTCCTCACAATTCATATTAAAGCCTATCAAAATAGGTCAACCTTTGTATTTGAGTCGAGACAAAAATCATCGTCCCGAATTGAATTATTTTAAGTGCACAGATTCTAACAGTTTGATTGAAGATGCACCTTAATACTTGAGTGAAGCGAATAGTGAGATGGATCGGGCTAAATTCCTAGATAAAATCATTCCACCTTTTCATGAAACTCATACCTGCTTGTAAAGAAGCGGTGCTCGATTAAGACACGACTGGTTATGTCTCATATTCTTCTGAAATCAAGTATTCAGTTCTTCAATACAGTTGGATTTGTGCGCCTCATGTTCGATGTATTACCTCCAATTATCAACGAATCTTGTCCAAAATTTCAACATTATTTTTATGGTGCCAAATATAGTAGAAATACAAGCATGATAATGTTAACCTAGTTAAGATTAGTCAGCTCCAAGTATTCAAGCTCATATATTTATAATGTTCTGAATGTTATTGAGAACTAATTTATCGACTGCATGAACGAAGTGCATTAACGAAGTGCGAATACCATACTTATATGCTCATGATCTGAAAATAGTATACAGATTTAAGCCTGAGGCTCTAAGTGAAAGTGTATCCCGAATTCAAAGTGACATCAATAACCTGATTATCTGTGGTAAAAAATGGTAATTACCATTCAACCTCAACAAGTGCGAAATCATGTATTTTGGAAAACGTCCCTATGAACTACAACTTTACTTAGACACTCAAATCAGTACATGATCTAGGAATTAATTACACAGGAAGCCTAAACTTTGAAGAACATGCCTCCCTTATTATTTCTAAAGCTAGACTAAATATTTATTTACAATAGATGCTAAGCTTACCCTTTACAAAATATGTATACCACCTTCCCTTGAATATTGCTCTTTTATCTCCTCAAATATAAATACCACAGACAAGATAAGTGTATGAGATGTTCAAAGACGCTTCACACGCCAACTGCTAGGATGGGCTCCACTTTCGATTACACAGGTAGATGTAAGCACCCCTCTTTAGAATTTTTATGACACCGTAGGCTAAGGAATAATCTGATATTTCTCTACAAAGCAATATACGAACTCCCATTTCTAGCTTCCTGCTCAACTATGATCCGTGACTTAGACTACAGACTGTGAAACAACGCATATACACTACTTACCGTAAACACCAAAAACAAATGCGTTGTAGTTTTTTTACAATGCCTTATAGTTTATTGTGGAAGAAATTGCTAATACCTACCCGTAACTGTGACACTATCACCAAGTTCGAAAGACTAATAACCCTGTTACTAGACTCTGAAGAGCTTCATCAACTATTCCCTGAACCCCCTCTCAATAATAAGCCACTTTATTATTGATAGCCCAATATCTAGACCAGTCATTAATATAACGGACTTCTATTGTCATTAATATGAATATAACCAAATGATAGAACACATGGTTTACCGTCTCCCATTATTCATTGATTATTAGTCATACTCCTAACCCTCACTTTCAGATTTCGAATCTCTCTAATGGTTTGAGATACATTCTTCTTAAGCGTCATGTCTTTTTTTTCTATAATAAGTAGACAGATAACTCACTAATCTCATGAATTCGGATCAAATATGTCCCATCATATGAAGCTCATAACGTCCTAAGTTCTTATGAGTCGCTCAACGTTTTTTTTCTTACCCCGAAAATTTTACACTTATACCGTTTCATATCCTTTGATTTGCTATCTATTCTTACTATCTCTTAACCATATATAATCTGATCACTTTTTTATAGTTTATACCATTGATTATCTTCATAACAGTGGGATATACTAAATGGATGTCCAGCCCATGATACAAATGCTTTAGCCGTCTGATTTGCTTGTGACATGGATCTAGTAAAGACAGTGTATTCTAACAAGGACCTTCGATTAAAGCAATATTAATATATACCACAAACGTAAGAGAGCCTACATCACAAAATAAGAGAGGGTGGTGTTACTGACCAGCAAACATGACGGTGGGGAGATAACTTCAATCCATCCATGTCTGTAGGGCAGAACATTTTGTTTAATTATAGCTCCTTATGGTCCAGTGGAATGTCACGAATCATTGATATTGGTGCTGATTTATTATGCAAAATACCTGTTTAAATCATGTTTAGAACATTGAATTGGTTTCACTTTCTACCCAGTAATCCTATTACAAACAAACTAGACAATCCGCTAAAAACGAAGCCTGCTCAAGACCCTAGAAAATATAAAAAAGGGCTCCAACAGCTTTGACAAAAAAGAGACAACCATTTGTGTATCATAATACTGTATAGCACTATATTTTATAACTACACACAATCCCATACTCTCAGCTCCTTTTTAAACCACCTCTATTTGTCACTTGTTTATCCATTCATACATTGTTAAGACTCATTTTCTTTACCTATTAGAATGATCTTGCCTAATGAATATTTTAATAAAAGAAAATTAAACTGAGTAGTCATACCTTAACTATTCCTTCATGAACATCTTCTGCTCTACTTCTCATCCTTTCTTTTACTTACACCATTTTTCTGCCCCCTTGAGATATGCCGACGAAAACAGATGTGGAACTGGTGACTTCGTCTTGCACCATCATTAAATTCTCAGATATTCCAGAGGGATATAATGTTGCGGCTTCTAGAACCCCCCAACTTCATATGGATCTATTCTTGACCATCAGTTGCGCGTCGCAAGCCAACCTTCATAAAGCGCGTTAACTGAAATATTGACAATATGGGTCTTACTAAAACTATCTACATTTATATTTTATAAAATGCCAACTTAACTGAGTAATTTACCACGGTGAAAATCGTAACTTTGTAACGATTTGATCTTGCTTGAAAACTGGCAGGCCTCATGTAACAAACTGTTATTTGAGAGTAACTTATTATTAATAAGGTTTTGGTTGTCATACCGATATTGGAAATAACGGTCATCGTCTGTGAAATGCAGTCTCATTCAGAGTCATTAATTGGGCTAGAAGATATAGCTCGGTTCATCATATTCCTGACGATGCTGCTAATGATAGTTTCAGTACTTGACTGGACAAGTATATATGGTCTCACTAGGCATGACTGTGATGTCTAGTTAATGTTAAAAATGCAACGAATACGGATGGTTGTCATTCGCGGTGGAATGAAGCTTCGCATGGACCTATGTATTCATTTACAATAATTACTCTATATTATGAACTGTTGCAAACAATTTTAATTTTTTAGTTGCTTGTATTAATTATGCTATTGATAAAGTTAGCTAATAGTTCTAGTAGTTTTTAATAAAGAATTGAGTGAATACGATAGAGAAAGGATAGAGGAATTGAAGGCTTGCTAGTTGAATTGATATTGGTGATATGAAGTGTTGAGTTGGCCAGTGTGTAACTGTACATAGTGAAGCTGGGAGGTCATACTATGAACAGATGCACTAACGAGCTAGATCACCATGTATTTATAAGCCTAACACTACCAAACGTGTTAGTGTCTTTAAACAGATGATAAGAATGGGGAAATTCGGGTGTACTGATATACGTCATATCCACTATTTGTAGGCCTTCAGTGTAGGTGCATATGAATCTATTATCGACCGTCAGTTGCACGTCGCAACGCAACTTTCATGAAGCGCGCTAACTGTGATACTGACTAAAACCATTCTACATTCCTATCTTATAAATTATAGACCCAGCTGAGTAATTTACTACAGTTGGAATTTATATCATTTGTGACAATTTGATCTTGCCTGTAAACTGGCATGCCTCATGTAACAAAATGTTATTTGAGAATAAAATATTATTATTATTAAACTAGTTGTCTGTATTTGGTTTTTTGCGCTTCTTATCTTTTCTGTACTGGCATCTTTATTCTGAGCAGAACAAGCAAAGTGAAGTGGTTAGTTCAATGAGAAAAAGGGTGACACAGTCCCAAACATTAATATCTTGAACAGGCACAAAGGAGAAGCACCCCATCTACGAGTAAACAGGGTGATTCGACGTTCACTAAGACAAAGAAAATGTTTGAAAATCGTCACCAGCTTTGGTATAGCACCAACAATGGGAGATTCCGAGTTTTTTGAAAATGAACATAACGGCGTAATTCGGGCAGCTCAACGAAGCATCGG